AGATCCTGAGTTCAAACCCTAGCACTTATATCCATGCACTCTTTGAAGCTGACACATTCAGAAATATACATATGCGGGGTTGTCTATGAGCTATACAGTTTTGACCAGGTACAGCCAACAACAGGACCCATTTACTTGTGGACACCCAGGGTCTACTGTACTTGGCCAGATTCCTTGTTCCTGTGATGTCACCATGTTGCCCAGAAGTTCATTACACATCATTTGAAATACTGAATAGGAACTGTGCCGCTGGCTCACACCTGTAATCCTAGTTACTCAGGAAACAGATTTGAGGATGACAGTTTGAAGCCAGCCTGGGCAAGAAAGTATATGAGACTCTTATCTCTAACAAACAACTAAAAAATAATAATCTGGAACTGAAGCTGTGGCTCAAGTGGTAGAGCACTAGCCTTGGGCAAAAGCAGCTCAGGGACAGTACCCAGGCCCTGAATTCAAGTCCCAGGACTGGCATTAAAAAAAAAAAAATCAAGTGTGTTTTATTTTGTATATACTATGTTTTTATGGGTTCCTTGTTGGAACAGGACTCCTTTCTCTGGTGCAATTAGTCAGTGTACTCACTGAGCATGTAATCTGTGCCTAGACCTGTGTCAAATAGAGAGTAGTCTGGTGCAACATCTATACCAAATGTCACAGGTCACCCTGGCTCAGGGCACAGGGCAGGAATCACCTGGCCTCCACGCCAGGCTGGGCAGTGGCTACTGAGGGAGAAGCTTGAGGGTGTGCTGGAAGCAAACACGGGTTCCTGTAGCCACACTTTTAGCATCTGTGTTCTAGATCAACTAAGAACTAACGTGGCTATCATGTTACCAAGCAGTTGACGCCTTAGTCTCCTATATCCTTAGGTTTCTTAATTCTGGAATCTGTGTGGAAGCGAACTCTGGAGGTCCAAGTGAGACAGGGAAGAACAGAAGAATGGCAGATTTGCATGGAGGAGAATGGGGCTGGATAATTCTAAGGTGTGAAAAGAACTAGTGTGTGTGTGTGTGTATGCGCGCACGCGCGCGATCTGTCTTAAGAGGTTTGCTGTAGGTTCCTTAAAAGAACTAGGGTGTGTGTGTGTGTGTGTGTGTGTGTGTGTGCGCTCGATCTGTCTTATGAGGTTTGCTGTAGGTTCCTTAAAGCTCCTAGCTCTTTATTTTGCAATTTGACTGTTTTGACCGTTTTCTGACTTCACACATATGCCACACACACACCACACACACACACACACACACAAACACTCCTCATTGAGATTTGCCTAATTAGAAAGTAGAATAGCAGGCCAGGCGCTGGTGGCTCACACCTGTAGTCCTAGCTACTCAGGAGGCTGAGATCTGAGAATCACGGTTCAAAGCCAGCCCAGGCAGAAAAGTCTGTGAGACTCTTATATCCAATAAACCATTAGAAAACCAGAAGTGGACCTGTGGCTCAAGTGGTAGAGCACTCACCTTGAGCTGAAGAGTACAAGGACAGTGCCCAAGCCCAGAGTTCAAGCCCCACAACCACAAAAAAAAAGAAAAAAAGAAAAGAAAGTAGAATAGCAAAAGAAAACAATAATGTAGAGACTAGCAGAAAAACTTAAAAAAAAAAATCCTACTAGTATTTCAGGATGCAAAGATCTCAGAAGCTTTCAGAGACATTTTGAGCTGTATTTTTCCCTTGCTTTATAATCAAGTCATATTAATGTAAACCAAAAACACATCTTGAAGTAAACATCTGTTTCACTCATGAGTAATTATGAAGCAGACATTTCAAATCAGTGCTGATCTAATGTTTTTAGAACATTTATTTAATTTTCAAGGCTCAATATCTGCCAAGTAAATCACCAATTTCCAGTCCACTCTTATTTAATATAAAAAATCTAATTAGTATAAAGCTATTTCACAGCTGTCTTTAAATAAAACCATAGTCAAGAGCATGCAGCATTTGGGGTTTGCTCTGGCATCTCCAAATCAAATGGATTTTTGTTCAGTTATAAAAATAATACCACAAAATTGTGCTTGATTTTGAAACCATAACTTTAAGATTATAGATCCTAAGGTGGGCTATATATATATATAAATATATATAGATATTAGTATCTATAGGGCATTTTACCCTATTTTGATTAATTGTAAGAATTAAAATAAAAATCACTATTAATACTTATTTTTTCATTTTTTTCTTGCATTAAGAAGCATACTAGTTAGTTGTACATGCAGACTTTCAAAACCTTCAGAATTCATTCTTTTCTAATAAAAACTATTCTATATGGATTATTAAAACAAACTGTTGATAAATTATTACACACCAAACTAACCAAGGTACATTATCAGGACTTGAATTCGTTTGGGTCAAAGAGGATTTGTGAGAGGACTGAGCAAAGAAACTCATAACCTCAGCTACATGGGTAGAGAGAAAGAAGATCAAGGTTTAAAGCCACCTCAGGCAATATGTTAGTGAGACTCCATCTCAACAATAAGCTGGGCAGTGGTGGTGTGCACCTGTGGTCCCACCATAGATGCGACACAGATTATATTCATTCATGGTTGGCCTGGGCAACCTTGGACCCCACCTGAGAAATAACCAGAGCAAAAAAGGGGCTGGGAGTATAGCTCGAGTAAGAGAGCCACTGAGAACAAAGCCATGGCTCAAACTCCAGTATTGTCTCTCTTCCCCAAAATATAGTCAGATGTTACTGTCTTTCATCCTTTGATAAACAAAATGACTTACACCACCAGCTTATTGTAGCCTAACTTGAGCTGGATCAGCCTGGCTACCATCTTGCCTCATATTGATCGTGGTGGATTATGTGGATCCTTGTAGAAAAAGGATGAGAGAAGACTGCTGGAATGGGCAGAGGTTGAGGCCAGGGCACTGGGTGAGAGCTGACCCCTAGATACAAATGAGGCCTACAACTGATGCTGCACCTGGCCATGACACCTGTGACCCAATCAATCCAACCCATTTCTGCCCAACTTGAGAGATGACCATCAGAGACAAAACCACAAATACCATATTCACTGCAATTCAGGCCCACCTACAGGGGCAAATAGCCGGGCATGTCAAACTCCACCAAGAGCTAAGGGAATGGGAAGGCAAAGGAATCCAGACTATAACATTTCAACCCCAGCTCCCAATACCTACCACAGCCCCCCACAACCTATCATGTTTCCACTTCTAAAATGCCGGATGTAAAATGACTATGCAGGTAGGCTAGAAATGCAAAGGATTGACTCAGAAGCAACCAGTTACTCTATAAATTAGAAAAAAGGAAAAACCATTAGGCATGGCTTTATTATTTAGTGCCAGCTTTGAACTCAGGGCCTGGGCACTGTTCCTTAGCTTCTTTGCTCAAGGCTGGCACCCTACCACTTGAGCTCCACTTCTGGTTCTTACTGGGTTAGATAAGAGTCTCATGGACTTTCCTGCTTAGGGTGGCTTCAAACTTTGATTCTCAGATCTCAGCTAGGATTACAGGTGTGAGCCACCAGCACTTAGTAGAAATTATACTTAGTATAAATTCCTTTTTTTAATTAAAAAAAAACTTTTGGATGCAGGTTCTTGCTTTATGGTCCAGGTTAGCCTTGAACTAGTTATTTAGTCCAGACTAGTCTTGAGATCACAAATCTCCTGCCTTGTGTGCTGGGATTACAGGCGTGCACCATTGCACCAGATGGAAAGATTTCACTTAGATCTGGACACAGGGCTGAAGACCTTAGTTAAAAAATCTCAAGATTGCCAAAAACAAAATAAATCTAATACATTCCTGTTTAAAAGGTTTTCATTTCCTTGTTACAATAAAGTAACTATGAGGATGTAAGAGACAAGTATTTGACTCAAACAGGTGTTCTATTGTCAGAAACTGGGAGAAACAGTTGGGTTTCAGGAGGGTGGAATTGACATGCTTTCTGTATAATGCCATTTGAAACAAAACGGGCGTATGCCTACCTAAAAGTTAAAAAACAAACAAAACTCTTGCTCTCCCTTATTAAACAAAGGTTAAAAGCAAAACCAAATGTATACCAACCAAAATAAGCCAGGAAATGTGGCTCACACCTGTAACTCTAGCTTCTTAGGAGACTGAGATCTGATGATCATGTTAAGCCAGCTAGGGTAGACAAATTTGCAAGACTTTTTTGTTAGTTTTGTTTTTTTTTTTGGGGGGGGGGGGGGGGGCGGAGGTTGTCGGTCACAGGGCTTGAACTTTGGGCCTGGGCGCTGTCCCTGAGCTCTTTGGCTCAAGGCGAATGCTCTACCAGTTGAGCCATAGCAACATTTCCAGTTTTCTGGTGATTAAGAGTCTCACAGACTTTCCTGTCTGTGCTGGCTTTGAACCACTATCCTCAGATCTCAGCCTCCTGAGTAGCTAGGATTACAGGCATGAGCCACTGGTGCCCAGCTTGCAAGACTCTTAATTAACCAACAAAGGGCTGGAAGTGGAGGCGTGGTTCAAGTAGTAGAGCAGAAAAGCTGAGCAATGGTGAGAGGCCCTGATTTAAGCCTCAGTAAATGCCTGAAAACTGTAGAGCACAAAATTATCAAGTGCTAGACCCTGAATATTGCCCCAAAATACCCCAAAACAATACTACCTCTATATATTTATAGGGAGAATATACAGAAAAAGAAACAGAAAAATACATTGATTATTATCCCTAAAGAGTGGGTTTCTGGATAATTTTGTTTTCTTTTGAATATTTTTCTGTATTTGACAGATTATCCCTAAGGAGATTATATTACAAATAAAATATTGGCCTGTCTTAATATAAATGGTGCTTCCCCCAACTCCACCACCTGGTGCCAGACTCAGACGTGGTCAGCTTTTGCTCCACCACTGGAACCACATCTCCAGATCAACATCTCGCTGGTTATTTTAGAGATGAAGTGTTCTGGATTTTTCTTCCATTCTGGCTTCAAACTACGATCCTCCAGATTTCAGCTTCCTAAGTAGCTGGATTACAGACTTGAACCATTGGAGCCCAGTGTAAGTATAATATACGTCTCTGAAGTGCAGTATTTTTAGTTGTGTCCATTTAATACATTACTTATCATAAGAATAAGATTTTTTCAATATCAAGAGTTTTACAGTAATGAAATTATATAGTGTAAAATTAGTCTCAATTTACATAAATACAAAATTCCTAGACCATGACTGTCTGCAAATGAGATTTTTCTTTACATTTCTCTTTAGTGCTCTTTTTCTTCTGTTTTTCTTCTGCTTGTTTTTCAAAATAGTCTTTAAGAAGATGGTTCAGCTGTGGTTCACACTGGCTTGCATGCTTCAGTCCGTCTTCCCTTCCTTAAAAATACACAGAGCAAGATAAATTTCCTTTTATCTCATACTGATCCTGTTATTATCATACCAGTCACCTTACACAATGACAAATCCGGAGCCACTCCTGGCCACATCAACCGAGCACTAACCAACCCCCAGCAGATTTAATTCAAAATGCATGAAATAAATGTATTCCTATTTTACCTTCACAGTGTTGGATCACACGGACCCATAGTCGATTCTTTCTCAAGCAGGTTAAATTTCCCACAATCAACAAATGCCTCCTTCCTCTGGTCAGTGCAACGTTCATTCGTTTTTCTGAATCAATGAATCCTACGTGTTGTGTGCGTACGCAAGACAGAATAATGATCTCCTTTTCAGCTCCCTGAAAAGCATCTACGGTGGAAACTTGTACATTTTTTATATCAGGATTGTCAAAGTCAGCAGTGGTGAGTAAATGACAAAGCTGTGGAGGGAAGAAGACAGGGATCCAGCCCAGGAGGTGTAAAGTTTAGTCCCTAGGCTTAGATGGTTACTAAAATAACAATAATTATTTAATTAATTGAGGAGATGATAATATTAATGATGGAGCAAAACCAAAAGTGATGATCTATCTATTGCTTGAGAACTCATTAGCTTACGTTGATTTGAGCTGATAAATTAGCTAATAGGTAGAAAAAGAAAACCTACTAAAAGGGAAAAGGGAAGCTATATTTAAAGTAATGAGCTTATGTATATATTAATATCTGGTGTGTAACCTTGCATTTACCGATCAAATTTAATTCATTAAGGAACATTTTAGGAAACAAGAGATTAAATCACACCTGTCCCCAAACATAAAATATATATTTTCTTCCTGTAATTTATTTGCATTTCTGCCTCAATGGCTGTATACTGAATTTAATTAAACCTTGTTAGGTTTACATATAATTATGCAGAAAAAAATGTAGGCCAGAAAAACATATTAGAATGTTCAGAATGTTTTTTTGTTAGTATAGAAGTTACAATTCCCCAAGCACTTCAAACTACGACAAATGTAATATTGAATACTGTAATATGTAATTATATTTAATATGTGACAAGTGTCATAAATGTAATGCAAACCTTGTACATCTGGGATTTGTATAATGTTATCACCCCAATCATACAGCCGGCTATTCCACTCGCAATCAGTGATTGAATTAGCTTGAGTGTAAAAGCTGCTTCTGCAACATTATAAAAGCTGTTATCTCTTTCCATCTGAAAGAAGAAACAGATCCTAAATCATATTTCTTGGAATGGCTATCGGAAGACTGAGTGAAATCATACAAACAACAATGAAATTAAACCAACACATTAAATGTTGCCTCCCATCAACACGAATGTCATCTACCTGTTCAAGTCCTGGAACGTTGTAGAAACACAGGGTGGGGAGCCAGGCTAACAAAGGGCTCCTCTCTGGCTCAGAAATGCCATTCAGGAGGTTTCCTTCATAGAAGAGATCATTAGCAATTGCACTGATTGCAGGGTGACAGCGGTATTGGGTTCTCAACATAACTGGCTTGTGACCCTAAAAAATTTAAATAAGAAATTAGAAAAGCACTTTTCTTTCTCTTTAGTGAAAGAAAAATTATAATATTTAAAACTTTTTACATATTGCTATGGCATGGTATTAAAAGATGTATTATAAGCTGGGAGCTCATGCCTATAATCCTAGCTACTCAGGAGGCTGAGATCTGAGGACCACAGTTCAAAGCCAGCCCAGGCAAGAAAGTCCATGAGATCCTTATCTCCAATTAACCGGAAAATCAGAAGTGGCACTGTGGCTCAAAGTGGTAGAGCACTAGCCTTAAGCAGAAAAGCTCAGGAACAGTACCAGGGCCTAAGTTCAAGCCCCAAAACTGACAAAAAAAAAAATTATTATAAATATGATAGGACAAGCAACAAATAAAATATTTTTAATTATTAAAATATTTAGAGTATAATGTAAACTATAAAATTACAAAATATTTTGCTAAGGTAGCCTCATATGACTAAGATGCTCTCATAGGGAATAAATAGAACTAAAAACAGTTTCTAGTTGCTGGTCTAGGAGAGCAACTGTTATGGGCTATGAGATTCCACTTTGGGAAAATGAAAATGTTCTAAAAGTAGACAGAGGTAGTGATTAAACAGCTTTGGGACTGTACTAAATGCTAACAAGTTACTCATTTAAGAGTTCATATGTTATTTGAATTTTACCACTATTTTACATTACACTAATAATTAACTTCTTAGCTGGGTGTCAGTAGCTCAAGTCTATAATCCTAGCTACTCAGGAGGCTGAGATCTGAGAATCACGGTTAGAAGTCACCTTGTGCAAGAAAGTCTGTGAGACTCTTAATCTCCACAAAAGCTACTAAAAATAAGCTGGAAGTGGAGCGGAGGCTCAAGAGGTAGAGCACTAACTATCCCTGAGCATAAAAGTTCAGGGACAATGCCCAGGCCCAGAGTTCAAACCCTAGAACCGGTTAATCATCATCATCATCATCTCTTAAATATCTAAAATGTATAGAAGTGGAGTTCCACATTACATATTAAGGGCAAAATAATATATTTACCACCAACTACTTAAGCACATAGGGTTCTTTATATAAAAGCATGATAAAATTACAGGGTTCTAGCTATATTTAAAATGAGTACTTTGGGGGCCAGGCATCCGTGGCTCATGCTTATAATCCTAACAACTAAGAATACTGTGATCCAAAGACTAAGGTTCAAAGCCAGCCTAAGCAGCCTAAGACTCTCATGTCCAATAAATCAGCAAAAAAAAGCTGGTAATGGAGGTGTGGCTTAAGTGGTAAATGCCAGCACTGAGAGAAAAAGCCATGGGAGAGCTACAGGTCCAGAATTTAAGCCAGAATACTGGCACCATTAAAGTATTTTTAAAATTTTAAAGAAGAGTACTTTTTCAATAATGCCAGCTACAAACTGTTTAAGAACAGTAACAAGGTTGAGGTCTAATATTTTCTTATTCTATCCAGGCACACAGCATACAATCAATAGAGGAAAATCCTGCAAGTACTCAGCAGTGTGTACCATTAGGCAAAGTCGATCAAAAAGAGTTTGCTCCAATCCATTTTCATGAGCGGCATCAGAACCCTGAATTGTGGGAGGCAGCTGTTTGGGGTCTCCAACAAGAATAAGCTTTTCACACTCAAACCTAAAAGCAAAATTTCAAGAATTAATCTAAACAATGGAAACAGGGTATATTAACATCAGTTAGTGCATTTTCCAAAATGTGATCCAAGAATTCAAAGAACACAAAGTGTGCCAGGGGAGGGGGAGGGGGGGCGGGGGGGGGGGGAGTTTAACAGCACCAGGATGCATAAGAAAAGCTCTAGGTATCATGCACTAAACGACTGCTCACAGACTTGATATTTGCCCCTTGCATGGAATAGGTATTTCACAGAACACAGTTGGAGCACTAACTTTTAGAATCCATAAACGCTTAAGAATTAGAGGCTTTCTTACAATTCCTTTCACTTACACTCTCCTGTGAAAGGTAAAGGAAGGCTCTCAGGGGCCAAATGGCTTTTAAATAGGAGTAAGATCTTTGTAGGAAAAAAGCCCAAGGTTTATGGACAAACTTCTATCTAAACTGCAACTTTCATTGTTTTTCACAGACAAAGCAAGTTATTTAATCTCTCAGTGCTTCAGTATTTTTAACCAGTAGCAGAGGTGAGGACACCCTGTGTGGCGACTGCAAAGATTAAATGATGTACGCAATGTGTTTAGTCCACAGTAGAAGCTCTCTTCTGCTGTCCGCCCAGGGCATCACTGCTCTTCCACTCTGGCCCCTGCATACAGTGACCATCCTGATTGGCCTAGGACTTGCACAGCTTAAAAACTGAAGGATCATGCCTATAATGCTAGCAGCTCAGGAGGCTGAGCTCTAAGGTTCAAACCCAGACAGACCAGGCAGGGAAGTCCATGAGACTCTTACCTCCAATTAACCAACACACAGAAAGGTAGAGCATCAGCCTTGAGCAAAAAAATTAAGGGATGGCTCCCGGTCCTGAGTTCAAGCCCCAGTACTGGCACAAAAGCATTCAATCAAATAAATAAAACAACAACAAAAACCTGAAAGCTCCATGATCCAGGAACCTCCCGAGTCATGAGCAAAACCTGATAGTTGGCAACTAACTCCTTCCTTAACTAGGGACTAATCAAGGTCTGCTGAATACACTGTCCATTTTCCCTAGGATTCCTCAATAAGACAGGTTATTGTTTTTTCTTGCTTTATTTTTCATTGTGTTGAAGAGGGAACCCAATGCCTCATGTGTGCTAAACACGTGCTCTACTACTGAAGTATGTACTGAGCTCCAAGAGATACTTTAAAAGCACAATTTTCCTTTGGCTAGCATGACTTGGAAAATTTTGTAATCCTCAATTTTAAGGAACAAATGTTCACTTTAACTACTTTTTATACATATGTATTTTTAAATTTTTTTCTTTTTGTTTTGGCCCTGGGCTTGACCTCAGGACCTGGGCACTGTGCCTGAGCTTCTTTGGCTCAAGGACATTGTTTAGCAGCCAGGCTCTCAAACTATGACTATAAGAGAGGAACTGTTAACATAGTTGAGAAAGCTGCAAAATTCTAGAAGAATCCTAGAGCTAGTGTTCTCAGGGTTTAAGGATTATACGATTCAAATATCTAAGCTGCAATCTAACAAACTTGAGATACATTTACTTCAAAAAAATTCCCATTGTATTCTTTTCTTTTCTTTTTTTTTTTTTTTGTTGGGTGTGGGGCTTGAACTGTGGGCCTGGGCGCTGTCCCTCAGCTCTTCAGCTCAAGGCGAGTGCTCTACCACTTGAGCTACAGCGCCACTTCCGGTTTTCTGGTGGTTTATTGGAGATAGGAGTCTCACGGTCTTTCCTGCCCAGGCTGGCTTTGAACCGCGATCCTCAGATCTCAGCCTCCTGAGTAGCTAGGATTACAGGCGTGAGCCACCAGCGCCCGGCCCCATTGTATTATTTTCAAGAATGTTGTTTTTATACTTAAATTGCTAAGAATTTTGTCCAAAATCTGCTAAGAGACTGTTTTCTGGAGATGTTGAAATAATTTTGACATGTGAGTGTATCTGGGGAAGAATCTTCCAGGTCACCTTGCAATGGGAAGCAGAGAGGAGGGCTCCGTCATTTGGCTACACTCATCCAGCACGACGACAGGGAACTTCAGGTCGTTCATACATGGGAACGGGCAGGCTGCGCAGGTAACACCAACTACTCGGACCTTAGTCAGACAAAAATGCGGTTAGTTGACAGCTGGTAAAAGAAAATAAGAGAACAGCCGGGCACAGGTGGCTCACGCCTGTAATCCTAGCTACTCAGGAGGCTAAGATCTGAGGATTGTGGTTTGAAGCCATCTGGGACAGACAACTCAGTGTCACTCTTATCTCCAATTAACCACCAGAAAAATCAGAAATGACTCAAAGTGGTAGAGCACTAGACTTGAGCAAAAAGAACTCAGGGATAGTGCCCAGGCCCTGAATTCAAGCCCCATGACCAACAAAGAAGGAAAGCAGTATAATAATACCAATGATTAAGGAAGCATCAAGGATGATGTTTCTATTTTATCTTCTAGGTGAGTTTGAATACAAGTATAACAACATAGACCAAATTCCTCCACAAAGAAAAGGTAATGTGGTAATCAACTGTTCTTTGCTTAACTATCAGGCACACTAATACTGATAATATAGGTTAAACAGAAAAAAATGTTCTTAAGGCAAAAAGCCTGAAAGGCAAATATTTAATCTCCATAACTAAATGTAACCAATAGAAAAAAATCTATAAACTTTTTGTGGTCATTGGCTCAAGTATGTACTTGTGTGTATATATATAAATATACATCTATATATGCTTTTCTACTATCTTTAGTATAATTGTACTTTTTGTCAGCAAGAGCAATCCATAAAAATTAACCATCTCTTTTTTACAACAAAGGTCATTGACAAAAATATGCTTTACAAATTAAACACTGCCTTTGCAGATCCTATGAAACAATATTGCAAACATCTTACTTTCTTACTTGTCAATAACACTTATCACACATAAAAGCTCTAAATACATTAGCTGTTTTCTTTCATTGGAAACAAAAACAAAGCCAGTTATGATAGGGTACACCTATAATCCTAGCATTTGAGAGGCTAAGGTAAAAGAATCCAAAAGATAACTCAAAACAAAAACAAAAACAAAAAAACATTGTAATCTACTTTTATATTAGAAATTCTATAACATTTAAACATTCATGTCTATAGTGATGTGCAATCCCTGCAACCTATATACTGCTCAGCACTACTTTGAAATATAATTTGCTATTTTAATTTCTGGGAACTGCATTTGACTAAAACAAAATTTGAATGGGAACCTTAAATTTATAAATCAAGAAGAATTCTTTCAGTTTAAAGAAAGACCTAATACACATCTGAATTTGATGTGGCCACACTTTTCTCGGCCTATACCCTAGATAAGGCCTAGCCCAGGCCCAGATGCTCTCTCTCTGCTCTTTTCTAGCTCCTTCTCAGCTCTTTCCTTCTCTTCTCTTTCCCAGCTCTCTAATCTTTCCTAACTCTCTCTTTCCCACCTTTCCCAGAGTCTCTCTTTTCTAGCTCTTTTCTCTCTTTTCTAGCTCTTTTCTCTCTCTTTCCCAGCTCTCCCAGCTCTCTTTCTCAGGCCTTTCCCCATTGAGTGGAGGACCAAGATGGCCTGGTGCCAGCCAAAACGATGAATAAACCTACCTCTTACCTGAAAAAAAAAAAAAAAGAAAAAAAGAAAGACCTAATACAAAAGCTTAAAATAAAATTTTTCTGTTAAGAATTATGTAATTTTTATCTTTTAATTCATTATTATATTATTAAAAGATTTTGTTGCTGACCTAGGAATTAGAAATTAACTATAAAGCATTAAAAAAATAGTTTCATTGAAAAGATGTGTCACTTTAAGATCAGTCTGATCTCATAGCTTAATTGGATTGGTATTCTTTAGTAGATGTGGTTCAAGTGTTAATACACCTATCTAGCAAGCATGAGACTCCCTTAGTTCAAACTTTAGTAACACACACACACACACACACACACACACACACACACACACACACACACACTCTTTATCTCTCTCTCTTCAAAAATGGTAATAGGTAATACAAAGTAATATACATTTTGTTAACAAAGATATAAGCAGTTATTTTTAGGTTGGGTTAATGGCTGGGGGGCGAGGGGGGGGGCGCACAGGATTTACTGGGGCTGAGCTCAGAGTCCTGAAATGGCTAATTTGTATTCATTCAACACAATCAAACTCAGCCCTTAGTGAAGAAGGCAACTGTCTCTCTCTTTATTTTTAGTGCCAGTCGGGGGCTTGAACTCATTACCTGGGTGCTATCTCTGAGCTTTTTTGCTCAAGGCTAGCACTCTACCACTTGAGCCACAGTTCCACTTCTGGCCTTTTGGTGGTTAACTGAAGATAAGAGTCTTGCAGACTTTCCTGCTCAGGAGGACTATGAACCTAGCCCTTAGATCTCAGCCTCTTGAGTAGCTGGAATTACAGACTTAAGTCACTGGCACCTGGTTGTCATAGTGGTTGCTTTTATTAAAATAATCTTCCCTTGCCAGAAATAGAGAATGTGACTAGTACATAACTGGAGATCTGCCTCCTACCTGCTTCAGCAGCATTCTGTTGGTCCCCAGCTTATGCTGCTCAATGCTTTTTCTTACATAGACTCTTTCCACAGGTGTCAGGTCCTCTTTCATGAGTGCATGGAGTTCTTTTAATTGTTCATTGTCATTTTCTGAGCCAGCATGCAAACTAAAAATAATAATAAAGCAAAAAAGAACAATACTACTATTTAGAGCTTGCCACTTGCTATCTTAGTTGGAACTGGCAATTTAGAATTTGATGTGGAGGAGGGGTGGGGGGAGGCTGGGAAGGGATGTGAAGGGTAAATAAAGGAGGAAGCTGCAATGCTTGATAAGAAATGTACTCATTATCTTGCCCATGTAATTGTAACCCCTCTGTACAGTATGTCCACAAAAAATTGAAAAAAAAGAATTTGATGTGGAATATATATATATTCCATATCATATATATACATTTGCTTTCACTATAGTATAATGTGAGGAAGTTGGAAATGTTTGTTTTGTTCTTTGGGGTTTTTGTTTTTTGTTTTGCCAGTCCTGGGGCTTGAACTCAGGGCCTGGGTGCTGTCCCTGGGCTTCTTTTGCTCAAGGCTAGCACTCCCACTTGAACCACAGCACCACTTCTGGCTTTTCCTGTTTATGCGGTATGAGGAATTGAACCCAGGGTTCATTCATGCATGCTAGGCAAGCACTCTACAGACACTAAGCCACATTCCCAGCCCCTGGAAATGTTTTGTAAAATAAAGCTTAAAATGTTCTTACACATGAAAAAAACAAAAAAATAACACTAGTTTTTATACTCCACTTTTTAAACATCACAAAATAGAATACAGATTTTTTAAAGATATACATATATTTATTGTTATTGTAATGGTGATATACAAAGGGGTTATAGTTATATAAGTCAGGTAATTAGTATATTTCTTTTTGGACAATGTCACCTCTTCCCTTGCTCTCGCCCAGTTTTTCTCCTCCCATAAAGACAGAAGGAGTTGTGAGTTGTATAGCTCATTTTCAACATAGTGTCCAGTTAGTAACACTGCTGCATTTGTTCACCCTTTGTCGAATTCTTTCTGTGTCTCCCCCTTGCCCTCCCCCAAACTAACAAACAAGACAAAAGGTGCAGAAAACAAAAACAGCAACGAACTAAAAAAAAAACTTTGTTTCCATTTCTTGGCGTTTATTTTGATAAATATTACTTTACATGATCATATGCATACCGAGCCTTTGTGATCCTCTCCTAAGTTTAAAGTTAGATTTTCTAATGAAAAAATTTCCTAGGCTGGGTATTGGTGGCTCACAGGAATCCTAGTTACTCAAGAGGCAGAGATCTGAGGATCATGGTTCAAAGCCAGCCCGAGCAGGAAAGTCTGTGAGATTCTTACCTCCAATTAACCACCAGAAAACCAGTGAAGTGGCACTGTGGATCAAGTTGTAGAGCACTCGCCTTGAGCTGAAGAGCTCAGGGACAGCGCCTAGGCCCAGAGTTCAAGCCCCATGATTGAAAAAAAAATCCTAAGTTAATCAAGAAAAAGATAATATTTTCCTCACTCCTATTTAAATACCAGATTTAAGGTTAAAAATATAGATAAAATGTCTTCATGTCTCTGAACACTCATTGGAACTTAGCAGTCTTACCTATGAGGTAAAATTGGCTTGGCAATCTTCCTAAGACTCCCGACTCTGACAAACTTTTCAAATCCAAGACCAAGAAGCCTTTAAAGAAAAGAAGACAAAACAGATTCTGATTATGTACAGGACATGAAACAAAGTTTCATGCGGTACTTACATCAGGTGAGTGTTTTTGTTTCATTTTATGAAGACAAGGTCTAACTATATAGCCTATCACCTGAGAGCTAGGATTGTAAGTGTATGCAACCATGCCTAGCTATATCATTAAAATTAACTTTGCATTATAGGTTTGTTGTTGGTTTTGTTTTTTGTTTGTTTGTTTTGCCAGTCCTGGGGCTTGAACTCAGGGCTGGGCACTGTCCCTGAGTTTCTTTGTGCTCAAGGCTAGCACTCTAGCATTTGAGCCACCACTCCACTTCTGGCTTTTTCTGAGTGATTTATTAGAGATAAAGAGTCTTACAAACTTTTATGCCTGGGCTAGCTTCTAACTGCAGTCCTGAGATCCCAGCCTCCTGAGTAGCAGGGATTACAGGTGTAAGCCACAGGCACCTAGCAACTTTGCACAGTAATATTTTTATGGTTATATGATGTAATGTGAAACACCTAAATTAAAAAAAATGTATTTAAACTATTTCTTTTAGATGAGACATTTTATAGACTTTTTCCCCTCCCTCACATCCCTCAGTAGTACTAGGTATCAAACCCAAGGCCTGGCACTCTACCTCTGGGCTCCTCTCTCCCATTGTGGAGATTGTTAAAAAATATTTATTATCTTATGTTGACAGTCATGAAATGTTTGTAAAATACCAATGTTAATCATAAATAAAATTGTCCTTAAGGACACAGTAATAAAGCAATACATACCTTACATCTAGCATAAAAAATTATTAAGATCCTCTTCACACATATTATTTAATGACTGCAGTTCTGAACACCACCTCATCTTACAGATGAGGATAGTGAAGCTCAGAGATGAAGTAGCTTTGCTGAGGCTACATAGCTAATAGATGGAGTCAGCCATGTTTAAAACCCAGGCTATTCTATCTCCTTAGGGCATAACTATTCTATATTACCTTAGGCCCAATTAGGCTTTATGCAGACATTCTCCTCCCCCTTCCTGCTTATATGTTTTTCAGCTCTAGCATTAGGAAATTAATCTGTTAATTTATAAGTCTAGACTTCAAAATCTTTTATAAACAAATAAAGTAATGCTTATGGTAGAAACTATAGTTTATTTTTTTCACAAATTTTTATGTACACCTTTTGCTTCGCAAACTTGGAATTCAATATACACTGTTCTGCATTCTATTTTTCCTTTACTTAAAAGATTATTGCTCTCTGGTGTTAAGCCTCAGGAAACAGCTTTTTGTAATTCAGTTGTACTTAATAATTAAGCAGTTATTGATCAGTAAATTCTTTCCCAAATTTTACCATTATGCTATACTGTGACAAAAATCCTTAAAGGCAAATCATAATAATTACTAAAAAAAAAAGTATAACTGCTTAGGATTGCTGTTTTCTTTTCTGTATCACCCTTATTGAAAAGAAAAGAAAAATTCACTCAAACTGTTTATCTATGTTACTGTTTACATGTTCACATAGGCAAGATGAACATAAGAATGGTCTGTAAGTATTGGTTCTGAGATTTTTTTATTTTGCTGGTCCTGGGGTTTGAACTCAAGGTCAAGGCACTATCTCTGAGCTTTGTTATTCAAAGACAGCACTCTATCCCTTGAGCCACAGCTCCACTCCCAACTTTTCTGATGGTTAACTGGAGATATGAGCCTCAGAGACTGGTTTCACTTTGAACCATGGTCCCTGATCTCAGTCTCCTGAGTAGCTAGGATTGCAGGCATAAGCCACAGTTAGGTAGCCAGCTTGATTCTAAGATTTGACTTTACCTATTCCTCGCATAATAGACTCAAGGCTCATGGTTCAAAAGAAAAGGACTTTGGCTCATGGCATAGGAAGCAAAGTGAGATTTGTGGTATCTGTATTGGATCCTCAAGTTCCACAAGGGGAGTTGGGCTGTGACAATGGATGCCTGCACAAGCAGTGGACTAAATTAACATGAAGGTTGGAGTCATTAATTTTAGTAACAAGCAGTAGTCAAGGTTGCTCATGGTCCTGGAGGAAGACCTTACCATATCAGGCTGAGCTGCTTCCTGTGAGCTTGGCACTGCAAAATGTTTGCAGGGATGCTCAGGGCCCACCGTTGTGAGCTGAACTTGGTTTTTATACATGAGATTCTCATAATGGTGTGAAAATTGTCAGGTCTGGGATTTGATTTTGTTTTTCTTATCAATTAATAAGTTAGCCTGTCATAGGATCAGAGAAAACGGCCTTGCACTCTAAGCAAGTATGGACACTTAGGAGACACAGCAGACTGCTTCTCTCATCAGCTACATAAATATGCCTGTCATACCTACCCAAGAAGGATTCTGTCCACAGCTACATTAGTGGAAGAAGAAATCAGAAGTTTCCATGGCCTTGCATTTCCAGCAGCAAGAGCTTCACGCTTTTCAAATAGCTGTACAAAGAACAAAATCACTACTGACAGCAAATAGCTTTTTCCTGCTCCAAAAACACCTAATTGTTTTAAAGAAAGGGAAAAAAAGAAATTAAGGTAATATTATGACACATGTTCTAAAAGTACAAGAAATATTCCATCTATTTATCTCTTGTTCTCCTTAACTATTAACATAGGAAAAATAATGGGTGCCCACTACAAGGTGTACACAAGGATAATCAGAATACTATCACCTTAATAAGACCACTGTCAGCTTAACAGAATAAACAGGTAAAGGGGAAATGATCATCTAACATGGCAAGTAACATGGCTGTGGGGTACAGGAAAAAAGAATACCCATGTGTGCTTTGGTGGGGACAGGAATGCTTCCTAAAAGGAAGAAGTTGGAGGACTAAGTCTTCAAGGCTTAAGATATCAAGACTGCTTAGAGGAAGGATTATTTAATGTAGAAGTGTGACAAGTATTGTCAAAAAGAACTTTAAATGGTCTGTATAGGCTAACAGCAAATAGATGCCCAACGAGGTGTGGAGGGAGATGGAGCAGTAAGTCCTCAGTTTGCTATAGCTAAAAATTTTGAATTTCATCTTCAAGAATAGGGAGGTCACTGAAGGACTTTAAGCAATAGGATTTATCAGATGGTTTTAGAAAAATATGGAGAAAGATAAGGCACTCAGAAAACTGTGTGAGATAATCATAAAAATAATAAATGCTAACTTTACCAAGTATCTCCCATGTGCCAGACACTGTTCTAAGCCTCTCACTTATGGGTATTTTTTATTGTTGTTATTGTTTGGTTTTTTTGCCTTTTGTTGTTGGTGGCACTAGAGCCTGAACTCAAGGGTATCACACTCATTCAGCTTGCTTGCTCATGGCTGGTACTCTATCATTGAGCAATACCTCCAGCCTATCTTTTAGCTGTTGGGAACTGTGTTCCTCTAGCTTTCAGGCCTGTGAATAGCTAGGATTACAGGCATGAACCATCACCACCCAGATCATTTCACCTATATTAACTCATCCTCCAACCCAATGAGACATTCACCTTTCAGAGCAAGAAATCAAAGCTAGGTAATCTGTCCAAGATCCTAAACATAATAAATGAGAGAACCAGGATACAAAGGCAAGATTCTAACTCTTGAGCTGACACTCTTACTCTCTGGGAAATTACAAAGGAAGAGGACAAGTTACAATGTTTATATTATTATATTGAAGTGTATTGACTAAGGTCGTCTTCTTGCTTCTTACCATGTATGACTGTGATAGGAAGGGTGTGGATGCACATTTCCTTCACTTCACCAACACTTTCCAGGGATGACATCATTTGAGCGATTTGAATTAGAGCTGTAGCTTGGTCCTTGTTTAACTTGTGTGTCTGAATGAACTCACTGGCTAACTGCAATGTTGCTCCTAGGCTGAGGAGCTCAGATTTTGTGTTGATATTTACAGAGGCTGGTGGAATAAATTTTCTCTTACTGACATTCTTACTGCTAACTGTAGTTGATGAAGACCTGGTTTTTAAAAAAAAAGGCAGCAAATCAAAGAAAACTTAAAGACTTTTGAGATAGCTAAGTGGACTTTTCATAACTTAAGTCTTCCCTTTTTAATCATCACAGAAGATATTTTGAGGGAGAACAGATTTAGATCTCAATTTAGAGGTCAGTGCAAGAGAAATAATGTTTTGTTCAATACTTACAATTTGCTAGCTTGAGTCTAAAACATATTCTTTTATATAATCTTCACAACAAAAAAGTTATCCAAAATATAAATATATAATTAAACTGTTTTCCCCAAAGTCACACTATTAATAAATGGTAGAATGCTTAGAGAACACAGCACCTGTTTCTGGTAAAATTACAATAATTGCTTTTATTTCTACTTCTATAAGGTCTCAATTCATTTCAAGTTAGATAAATAACATAATGAACTCTTAAGGATTTTTTCTTTTGTACCTAGGATTCATTATGGTGAGAGTAAATCACAGCAAGATGGATAATAACATTGAAAATTAGGAAACAGAAAATTTCTATCATTTTAATGCATTTGAATGAGAGCAAAATTACAGTTTATATAAATGTTCCCCCCCCCCCTTTATTTTTTGTCAGCTGTGGGGCCTGAACTCTGGGCCTGGGTGCTGTCCCTGAGCTCTTCAGCTCAAGACTAGTACTCTACCACTTGAGCCACAGCACTACTTCTTGTTTTCTGTCAGTTTATTGGAGATAAGAGTCTCACAGACTTTCCTGCCTGGGCTAGCTTTGAACCGTGAACCTCAGATCTCAGCCTCCTGAGTAGCTAGGATTACAGGCATGAGCCACCGGTGCCAGGCATAAATGGTGCTTTTTAAGAAGGGGCCTGGGTATTTGAAATATTAAAACTGAAATGAGGATTATGTCAAAAATAATATTACATGCAGGCACCAGTGTCTCCTGCCAGTAATCCTAACTACTCAGGAGGCTGAGATCCAGAGGACTGAGATTCAAAGAAAAGTCTCCAACTCCAATTAACCACCAAAAAGTTAGATTGGAGCTACAGTTCAAATGGTAGAAAACTACCAGTGAAAAGGCAAAAGAAGCCAAGTTCAAATTCTACTACTGGCCAAAAAAACAGGCAAACAAACAAAAACACAAAAAGAATAAAATTAATTCTTAAAATTTTAAATAATTGTGCCATATAAACGGATACATTTTAAAACAGTCAAATAATTATCTTTAAAAAAAATTTTGCTCATGCTTGTAATCCTAGCGACTCAGGAAGCTGAGATCTGAAGATTATAGTTTAAAGCCAGCATGGAAGGAAAGTCTGTGAGACTCTTGTCTCCTATTAACCACCAAAAAGCCAGAAGTGGAACTGTGGCTTAAGAGGTATAGCTTAGACCAAAAAAGCTCAGGGACAGCACCCAGGTCCTGAGTTCAAGACTGGTGCGCACACATGCACACATACACATACATACACGCACACACATACACAACAAATTATTCCTTTAGCATCTGTGAGGCTGATGCAAAGGATTCTGAATTCCAGGCCAGCCTGAAGGACATTAAAATCAAAACAATAAATTATCCCTTGATAAAGAAAAAAATTGCAAATATGTAGCAGCCCAAACTAAAACAAATAAATAATAGCTGAGTAGGAAATTATGCATAGTTCCTCCTTTCTTTTTAAAACAATTTATTAATTTATTTATGTACATGGGAATCAAACCCAAGGCCTCACATATTCTAGGCAAGTGCTCTACCCCTGAGCTACAATCTTATGTTTAAATAATAATAGACAGTAATCTTATGATCTGAAAGATAACTAAGCATTTTAAGGGTAAATTTTATTTAATGTGCTTTATATTAGCATTTTCATTTGCTATTTTTAAATATCAATGCCCCAAAGACAAGTGATAACTTACATGGTTAATAGGTGAGGTGTTAGTGGTAGAGTAGCTGGATTAAAATAGTTCTGAATGTTTTTCAAAGTAGTCAGCTCTGTGCTGGCATTACAGACCAATAATGCATGGACCATTACTAGAGAGAAGAAGCAGAAAACAATTTTATTTTATATAAATGTACCAATTAAATATCGCTATAACCCAAGAGTTCAGCTACCGAATTCATCAAATGATACAAACTGCTAAATACCTGCAAAGATACACAAATTTTTATCCATTCAATAATACAGCATCCACTTACTCATTTCATAGGTGACCACCCACACAGAGTATAACTTCAATCATATTTGGACTTCTATGTATCAGTTGAAAGAACATTTGTTTTGATCTAATGTATTGTGGCACTATCTGACAGGCAGCTCTCTTTAATCTGTATACCACTTATGATGCACAGTAATCTTTATGTAAGTTTTAAATGTGTCTTGCATTTCTTCTTCAATTATCTTGTAAAAATATTGAGTGCTTATATTCTAATAGTAAGAAAACAACTTTAGGAAGTGGTGCTGTGACTCAAGTGGTAGAGTGCTCACCTTGAGCTGAAGAGCTGAGGGACAGCACCCAGGCCCAGAGTTCAAGTCCCACGACCAACAAAAAAAAAAATCCCAAACTGGGAGCTGGTGGATCACTCTTGTAATCCTAGCTACTCAGGAGGCTGAGTTCTAAGGATTATAGTTCAAAACCGGCCCAGGTAGTAAAGTCTATGAGACTCTTATCTCCAATTAACCACCAGAAAACCAGAAGTGGAGTTGTGACTCAAGGTGGTAGAGCACTAGCCTTGAGCAAAAGAAGTCAAAAAAGAGCGAACAGCCCATTCTGGGGCACTGCTGTGGGGCATCCTGACTTCAAGCCCCACAACTGACAAAACAAAAATATAAAGTATCTCCCAAGCCAAGTACTGATGGCTCATGCATGTAATCCTAGCTACTCAGGAGGCTGAAATCTGAGGATTGTGGTTCAAAGCCAGCCTGAGCAGGGAAGTCCAGTAGACTCCTACCCCCAATAAAAATACTCAGAAAAAGCCGGACACCGGTGGCTCATGCCTGTAATCCTAGCTATTCAGGAGGCTGAGATCTGAGGATCACGGTTCAAAGCCAGCCCAGGCAGGAAAGTCCATGAGGCTCTTATTTCCAATAAACCACTAGAAAACCAGCAGTGGTGCTGTGGCTCAAGCGGTAGAGCGCTCGCCTTGAGCTGAAGAGCACAGGGACAGCACCCAAGCCCAGAGTTCAAGCCCCACGACTGACCAAAAAAAAAAAAAAACTCAGGAAAGGCTGGAAGTAGTGCTGTGGCTCAAGAGGTAGAGCACTATCCTTAAGGAAAAAGAAGCTCAGGGATCGCACCCAAGGCCCTGAGTTCAAGCCCCCCCAGGACCATAAAAAAAAAAAAAAAAAGCAAAACAAAAAACCTCCCCAGATGACAAGATACTCTTAAGGCAAATCATTAACTCCAAATCTCCAAGATCTTGTCAGTGTAAAAATATATTCCTCACTAAATGTACTTTCTAATAACCAAGAGAACCAGAGTTTGATGGAATTATTTGAAAAAAATTCATTTACATGTTTAATGGGAGTATACAAATCAACTTCAGCAAAATATTAGGTAATGGTTCAAGATTTAATTATCTCTTGGGGCTGGGAAGGTGGCTCAGTGGTAGAGCGCTTGCCTTGCATGCCCGAGGCCCTGGGTTCGATTCATCAGCACCACACAAGCAGGAAAAAAAAAGCCAGAAGTGGCGCTGTGGCTCAAGTGGTAGAGTGCTAGTCTTGAGCTGAAGAGCTGAGGGACAGCACCGAGGCCCAGAGTTCAGGCCCCACGACCGGACCCCCAAAAAATAAAAAGATTTAATTATCTCTATAGGACTTGAACTGAAGAAATATTTATATTTTAGCTGGGCGCTGGTGGCTCACCTGTAATCCTAGCTACTCAGAAGGCTGAGATCTTAGAATCACGGTTCAAAGCCAGCCCGGGCAGTCATGAGATTCTTATTTCCAATAAATCATTCGGAAAACTGGAAGTGGCCCTGTGGCTCAAGTAGTAGAGCGCTAGCCTTGAGCTAAAGAGCTGAGGGACAGCACCCAGGCCCAGAGTTCAAGCCCCATGACAAAAAAAAAAATTGTATTTCATATACATATCTAAAATACCAGCTTTGGGCATTAGTCGTAGGACTTTTGGTTTTTCCTTGATGTACTAAGAGGATCTTCATTTTTGGGTTATAAGATTAAAATAATATTTATACTATTAAAGCAATGTCCATTTGAACAATTTAAATTTTCATATGCATTTTCAGAAACACAATGTATACAATATTAGAAACTAGAAGTAGGCTTTCGTCAAATAATCCCACACACAGTTAGCAATCTTGCTCACAGTGCCTCTGTTATTTATTTTAAATACAAATTAAGATGGGCATGGGAACACTTACTGTTTGTAGGCCAGTTAGAAGGGAAATAGCCTTTCAAAGGTAGCAGTTCCACCTCATTGGTACAGGATGGTCCAAAGAAAGCACTACATGCGATGAATGTATCTAGTTCGAAGTCTAGAGTTTTTGAAACCACCCAAAGGTCATCTAGAGAGACAAACATTTCCCCAGCTTTATTGAGGTGTAATTGACATGTTTAAAAATGTATATAATTAGAGAATGTAACATGGTATTTGGGAAGATGATGGGGAATGAAATCAGTGCCTTATGCACAGGAAGCATTCATTCTACCACTGAGCTACAAACTCACAACATGCTATTTGATAATAAGTATAACTTGTGTAATGATTCCTACAGCCACACAAACATATCCATCACCTGCCATTGTTACATTTGTGTATGTATACATTGTGTGCATACATATACAGTGTGTACTCATAATATATATATGTACATATGGATGTATGTATGTATGGATGGATGGATGAATGACAAGAACTCTTCCCTGTGCAAATAATCTATGTTCAAATATGTATCCTGTTTCCAAAGTTCAGGCGCAGGATACATTTTTATTAACTATAGCCAACATGCTATGAAACCCTACAACTTACTTGTAACAGAAGGTTGGTACTCTAGCATCTCCATGTTTTCTTTATCCCTTAGACAGGCAACACTCCACATTCACTAATATACAGTCTATTGCAAATAAGTCTGCATCTGGTTTCACTTAGCATAAAGTCCTACACATCCATACATGTTGAAAATATCAACATGGCTAGTTTTATTATATACATATAATGTGGCTAATATTATACTAGAATTATATACACACTAATGTGGCAAGTATTATATACCTATGTATGTATACACACACACTCATGTGTATACACAGCATTATTTGTTATTCTTCCGCTGAAGGACAGTTGTTACCTCATCTTTGCTTTGTGAGTAAAGTATAATAAATACAAGAGTGAAGATACCTCTTGAAGATACTGATTCTGTATCTCTTGGATATGTACCTAGTAATGGGATAGTTACATAGTAGACCTATTTTGTTTTTTGAGGGTCTCCAAGGCTGCTTTCCACAATATCTATACCATGTCACATTCTCATCAATAATGTACAAGTTCAGTTTCTCCATATTCTGATCAATAACTGTAATCTCTTGTCCTTTCGGAATTAGCCTTTCTAGTAGGTCTGAGATATTATCTCATGTAGCTTTGATTTACATTTCCCTAGCAATGATGAGTATCTTTTCATACGCTGTTGGCCACTGTATGTCTTTTTTGGGAAAATGTTTATTGTAGTCCTTTGTTTAGTTTGCAATCAGATTATTTATTAGCTTCTTTTTTAATTTATTTATAGTTATTGTAGAAGTGATGTACAGAGGGGCTAACATTACATCAGTCAGATAAAGAGTACATTTCTTTCTTTTTTTTTTTTTTGCTAGTTGTGGGGCTTGAACTCTGGACCTTGGCACTGTCCCTGAGCTCTTCACCTCAAGGCTAGCACTCTCCCACTTCAGCAATTAACGCCACTTCCAGTTTTCTGGTGGCTAATTGGACTTTCCTGCCTGGACTGGCTTTGAACTGCTATCCTTAGATCTCAGCCTCCCAAGTAACTATATTACAGGCGTGAGCCACTGGTGCCTGGCTAAGAGTAAATTTCTTTTTGAACTATGTCACCTCTTCCCTTGTTCTTTCCCAGTTTTTCCCTCCTGATCCCACTCACAAGTTGTATATTCCATTTTCTTTTTTTCTGGGTCCGGTCATGGGGCCTGAACTCTGGGCCTGGGCGCTGTCCCTCAGCTCTTCAGCTCAAGGCTAGCGCTCTACCACTTGAGCCACAGCGTCACTTCCAGCTTTTTTCTTTTTGCTTATGTGGTGCTGAGGAATCAAAACCAGGGCCTCATGCATGCAAGGCAAGCGCTCTACCACTGAGCCACCTTCCCAACCCCACATCCATTTTCAACACACTGTCTAGTGAGTACCACCGCTATATTTGTTCACTCTTCATCCCTCCATTTCTGTGCCCTCTTTACCCTCCCTAAGACAGATAAATGAACAAATAAAACCAAAGGAAATGAAAACAAAAACAGCAGCAAAGCAACAAATACCTCTTGTTTCCACTTCCTGGAGTTCATTTATATAAATACTTTTTCTATGGTTAGATGTGTATACACATTGCACCCATGTGACCCCCTCATAAGAATACCTTCCTTTAGTCTCACTCTGTGTGAATACCTAATTTATCAAGCCCTAATATATTTTTTTCTTTTACCATCTGGTGTGTTTACTTGTGCATTTAAATGCACATTCTAATTACTATAAATGAGGAAAAGCATGCAACTTATATTTCTTTGGGTCTGGCTTAGTTTGCTTAATATTATTTTTTCCATGTCCTTCTATCTCCTTACGATTAGTACAAGATCATTACACTGTTGGTGGGAATGTAAATTTATTCAACCGCTATGGAAAACAGTATGGAGGTTCCTCAGAAGACTAGATGTAGAACTTTCCTATGAACCAGCGATTCCATTCCATTCCATTCCATTTATCCAATAGAGCACAAGCTACTAGCACAACAATGTTTACTGCAGCATTGTTTACCATAGCCAAGATACTGAATCAACCCAATGCCCTTCAGTGGACGAATGAAACAAGAAAATGTGGCATACAAGGTTATTTGGTTTCTAACTGAGTTCCTGATGTATTTTGCATATGGTTTGAAAATATTTTCTCCCATTTTATAGACTCTCTTAATTCTGTTGATTGTTTCCTTTGCTGTATAGAAGCTTTAGTTTGATGTAAACACAATTATTTTTGCTTTTGAGGTCTTATCAAAAACTCCTCCACAAAACTATTGTTAGTCTATTCAAACTGCCAGAATAAACTATATTAGACTGATTTGCTCTCAGCTTCACAGATGGGGCCTCTCACTGCATCCTCACATGGTAGAAGGGGCAGAAGGCTAGGTCCTCAATGGCAGAGGGGTCCAAAGGGGATAGGATGCTCCCTTCAATCTCCTTTTATAAGGCCCACTAATCCCATTTGAAACATAGAGTCCAGGCAGATAAATATCAAAGAGACTTTTATCTCCAATTAACCAGGATGAAGAGAGAAGAGGAGTCATAGCTCAAGTGGTAGAGCTCCAGCTGTGATTGGGAAAGAGAAGAGAGAGGCCATGAGTTTAAGTCCCACAGTTGATGAGCAAGCAAGTCAAGTGAATATGAGGCCCTGGGCTCAAATCCCAAGATTGGGGGAAAAATTTTTTAAACTAAAGATTTAAAATGTATTCGTTGAGTTGGGCATGGTGATACGTACGTTTAATTCTAGCACTGGAAAAGCTGAAGCAGGAGTATGGTGTGAGTTCAAGAAACAGTTGAGGTTAGCAAGACCCTGTCTCAAAAATTTAAAAAACAAGTGCTTTTTAGGAATTCAATTATGTAAGTTTATGTACAAGAGAAAAATGAGTTAGTGTGGTAACTTTGTGTTAAATATACATTGGCATACTAGATTTTGTTTTGGATTATGAGTTCACAAATGCTTAAATCATTTTAAAAATTAATTAACTAAATAAAAGCAAGCTATGTAAGGATTAATGACAAGAGTAGATCCTAAAACCAAAGATAATTCATGTAACTTAGTGCATCTAGAGATTTTTGAAAATCCATAGTTTTAAATGACTTTGTTTCTAAGTATACAATATTTGGGATGCGGTGTAGGCAGACAGTGAGAGAAGTACCCACAATCTCCCTATGTTTTTCAACGTATTTGCAATATTAGGTCAGAATAGAGCTGAATCAATATATTTATGTGACAAATAAACATAAGTTTTAAGTCAAGAACTTGGTGTAACTAATCAAATGGCTTTGAGTATTCTTTTAATAAAGTTTCGTGTGTGTGTGTGTGTGTGTGTGTGTGTGGTATATGTGTATGCGTATGCAGAATACTGGGTCTTGAACTCAAAAGCCTTGAGCTTTTACTTTTTCTTCTCAAGACTGGTACTCTGATACTTAAGCCACACCTCCAGTTCCAGCTTTTCTTTGCTGGTTAACTAGAGGTAAGAATCTCTTATTTGTCTGACTCTGCTGACTTTGAACTGTGATCCTCAGAACTCAGCATCCAGAGGGATGAGCCACTGGTGTTTGGCCACTAAGTTTCTTCAATACAAAGAACTCACAGAGCTGTGTTTAGCTGAATCACCTTAATGATCAGATTTACTTACCTTTGCTATAAACTGAAGAACTTTCCTTCCTACTCAGCTTAAGGTAAAGTTTGCTTTTGGTTTCACTATGAAATTCAGGATTTATTGTAGCAAACTTCTTTAGTTTGCCATACTGTTTTCTCTGAAAATCAAATCCCTTTCTGAAAATAATTAAAAATAAAAATACATTTGAATATCAAGGTATAATTCTTTAAACCTTTAAAACATAGTACATCAATACAAGAACCAGAGTTAGATACATACATACATATATATATACATATATATATATATATATATACTTTCACATATGTACATAAGACATAAAACATTCCAAAGTGAAAATAACTCTTACACTGAATTGTCATCTGTTTTAAAAGATGGATAGGAAAAATATAAGACAAGCACTTCAGTTTCCAAAACTATAAAGTAAGAATAATTTATTCCCACTATTTCCATATGTTCAACATTACTATGATGTAAATGAAATATTACATATAAAATGCTTAGAAGATGGAGAGTGGTGTGGCTCAAGTGCATCCACCTAGTAAGAACAAGGCCCTGAGTTCAAACTCCACTAAAGCCAAAAACAAAAAAAAAAGAAAAGAAGGAAAAAGTGCTTATAAGAGAGCCTGGTATTTATAAGCTTCCAATAAACTGTTATGTAAATGTTCATTATACATACTTGTTTAGTGATCTCACTTTTACAAAAGACATGTTTCTAAAAGTAGCATCTTACAAGCTGCATAGGTCAAGTTTGTGAACAATCAGTTCCCTATTATCCTGCATTACTAAAAGATCATTTCTGGGGGCTGGGAAGGTGGCTCAGTGGTAGAGCGTTTGCCTTGCATGCCTGAGGCCCTGGGTTCGATTCCTCAGCACCACATAAGCAAAAAGAAAAAAGCCAAAGTGGCACTGTGGCTCAAGTGGTAGAGCACTAGCCTTGAGCTGAAGAGCTGAGGGACAGCGCCCAGGCCCAGAGTTCAGGCCCCACGATTGGACCCCCCCCCAAAAAAAATAAATAAATGATTTTTTTTTGGTTTGTTCTTTGGATTATGGAGGAGAGCCATGAATGTAAAAAAGAAAGAAAAAGAAACTGGTAGAAAATAGCCTCCTCAGGCTGGGAAGGTGGCTCAGTGGTAGAGTGCTTGCCTTGCATGCTTGAGGCCCTGGATTCGACTCCTCAGCACCACATAAGAAAAAAGCTGGAAGTGGCGCTGTGGCTCAAGTGGTAGAGTGCTAGCCTTGAGCTGAAGAGCTGAGGGACAGCACCCAGGCCCAGAGTTTAAGCCCCACCACCGACAAAAAAAAAAAAAAAAAAATAGCCTCCTGTCACATATCCTGATATTGCTGTCATTTCATAGTTAGAGGACCAACATAAATTAAATTTAAATTAAAGATAAACTCCTATTTTATAGTTGTAGAAACTGAAGCACTGTCTCTGTCAGATACTTTCTCTCCATTAGATAGGCAACTTAGTTGAAATAGATTTCAACTTCTTTTAAAACTGATGTGGCTGGACAGGTAATTTACTGGTAAAGAGCTTGTTTAGCACGTGCAAGGCCCTGGGCTCAATACTAAGTAGCTCAAAATATTAATAAAACAACTGATAATTCTGTGAGGGCTCCTATTCCTTGATATGGCTTAAAGGCAATTATTTGATATTATAAAACATACCTCACTAAAAGCTGGCAATCTTCATAGACTGGTATCTTTTGACTTCTCAAATACAAGCCAATGCTTTTAATATCATTTAAAACCATGCTGGGCTGAGACTCTTCCTGTGCCACTCCTCCTGGAGTCACTTCTTCCAGCCACTTGAAAAACTTACATTGATCGGCTTTGGGTCTATCACATGCATAAAAGAAACGACCCTGAAGGGAAAGAAAGTATTAAACTTTGGGCTGAAAGTAGACTGTCACCCAGTGGTAGAGTGCTTGCCTAGCATCCTGTGTGAGGCTCTGGGCTCTATCCCCAGCAGTGAAAAAAGAAAAGAAAAAAGATGAAAACTTAATGAAAAAAAGTTTTTATTGTGTTTCGTTAAGACTTTACTCATAAGTTTGCTTGACATTAATGCACTCCAAGGAATTACTATGCAATCTAATTATTAATTTAATAAATTAAATTTTTAAATTGCCTAATTTTCACTTATTTTCTCTTTATCAAAAAAAATCTATCAGTCTGAGAATATTTATTTGAAAGCCAGCAATAAATTCATATTTATTATTCTCTGATTAAATGTTTATAGGTACCTTAAAATTTATCCAGAAACAACTGTAAGCAACATCTGTACATTTCCTTCCATGTCTTCCTCATACAAGTATATATATACACACACAGATAACATGTTTTGTTTTGCTAAAAACAAAATCCACATGATAGATTTTCTACCCTATAACATAATCTTTATATACAACAAGATAGTATGAACATGCAATCATATCATTAAACAATTTTGAAAAGAAAGCCAAGATTTTAAGTGTCTATATGCTTCATTCTATGATTATGCCGTTATTTATTAGTTCTCTCTTTTAACAACTAAATTTAAAGTCAATGTGAGATATCCAATTAGTGAAAGAAAGCTGTTTTATGGCTAGGTATGGTAGTACATTCCTGCAATCCTAGCACTCTGAAGGCTGAGACAAGATGATAAGTCTGAAGCTAGTCTGAGCTACCCAGCAAATTTCAAGTTCCAAGTGAGCCTGAACTACAAAGCAAAAGATTTGCAAAGAAAGCAAAGAAGGAAAGGAAGGAAGGAAAAATAAAAGCACAGTTTTATAAACAAGTACATGTGATCAACCAACATACATTTTACTAATATGACTTCCTCCACAGTATGTTATTAGCAATATAAGTTAAGTGAGCTAACATTCCTGTTCCTTTCACTGGGTCTGTGTCTTGTATTGAAGTTCCCACAGTAGACTAGCTTCAACTTTCATTTCTTTCAGCCTCATCTCCATATTCTCCCACCCTCAGGTGCTCTATTGTAACTTGGACATATTGTCCCTACTTTTACAATATTTTCTGTCTCTTCCATCTCTGTCCACTACTATGCAATGCATTCCTAAGCAACATAAAAGCCAACTAATAGGAACTCAGAAATTTCAATTTTTAATTCTGTGCCCTACAATACATAGATTAGCCTTTTCATAAAAAAAAAGTATTAAGCTGGGCACCAGTGACTCACGCCTATAATCCTAGCTACTTGTGAGGCTGGCATCTGAGATTGTACCGGGACAGAAAAGTCTGTAAGACTTTTATCTCCAATGAACTACTCAGAAAAAGCTGGAAGTGGCACTGTGGCACAAGTGGTAGGGTACTAACCTTGAGCAAATAAGCTCAGTGAGAGTGCCCAGGCCCAGAGTTTAGAGCCCAAGACTGGAAAAACAACAACAACAAAGGTTACTTATATCTCAAACAGAAGACTCCTAATCAAGAGTAAGACAAAAATGGGGTGTTGAGGAGCAGGAACAATACCTTATTTGGACCTTCTTTTTTAACCATGACAAGTTTTGCTGGCTGGTTATGACGGCAGGATGGTAAACTTGTTTCTACATTTTTCAGATTCTCTCCTTTCGATGATGTGTAAAATGATATGTCAACTTTTGAAAGTGCTTTGTGTAGCCTTTGGGCCAACCCCAATAGCAATATATTTAGATGTTCTACAAAACAAGAAATAGACATGGTTGAAAATCAAATGTAAAATTATTTTGTATTTGTAGCACATATGCACTCTTTACTAGTCAAATTTGAAAACAGCCTTTTAAACCCAGTCATCTGTAAGACTATATTTATATTTTATTTCTTTCTTTATTTTTTTTTTTTGTCTGTCATGGGGCTTGAACTCTGGGCTTGGACGCTATCTCTCAGCTCTTCAGCTCAAGGCAAGCACACTACCTCTTGAGCTACAGCACCACTTCCGGTTTTCTAGTGGTTTATTGGAGATAAGAGTCTCATGGACTTTCCTGTCTGGGCTGGCTTTGAACCACGATCCTCAGATCTCAGCCTCCTGAGTAGCTAGGATTACGGGCGTGAGCCACCGGCGTCGGGCTGTTTCTTTTTTATTATGACCTTTATTTTACCAAAAAGAAAAATTACAGCTACCAAATAATGTGTCCTGGCCACAAACACTATTAAGTGACAGATCTGGGTAATATACACAGTAGTATAATCCCTTTTTATATCACTCAGAGATCTTTTCAATTATTAGTGTATATTAACTGTGCATATACATTGGTTTCACTGTATATTTCCATTCATATATAGGTAACATGAATGAAAAACTGTTCTTAATATCCATTCGCAAATTTTTATATTTTGAGACACTATGTAACCCTCAACAACTACAAGCTCTTGATCTTCCTGCCTCAGCCTCCTGAGTGTTAGTATTTCAGGCACATATTACTACCATTCCCAGCAACATCTTGCTTTTAAAATGGCAAGTTTTAGAGACAGTCTGGGCTACTTAACAAGACCTTGCCTTAAAGTATAATAATAATTATAACACATAAAAGGCAAGTTTACCCTTGTATCTCCAGACATTAAACCTAATTATGCTGCATATCCAAAATTTCCCTCTTTAACAAAGGCATTTGTCTCTAATTAAAAAAAAAAAACTTTTAAATCCTGTAAGACCTATAAAGACAGTATTACTAGGGAAAATGATAAAAGGGATGACGTTGGATATATTATACTCATAAAGTGACATGTTGACTTGAAACTCCTTTGTACAACTACTTAAATTTTTTAAAAGAATATAAACTCATGCCTGTAATTGAACAACTCAGGAAGCTAAGATCTGAAAATCAGTTAGAAGCCAGCTGGGGTAGGAAAGCCCATGAGACTCTTATCTCCAATTAACCACTAGAAAACCAGAAATGGAGCTGTGGCTCAGATGGGTAGAGTACTAACCTCGAGCAAAAAAGCTCAGGGACAGAACCCAGGGACAGAAGCTCCACAACTACTATCTCTCTCTCTCTTTCTTTCTCTCTCTCTCTCTCTCCTCTCTCTCTCTCACACGCACACACACACACACACAAATAAAAAATATGGTATTGATAGTTTTCACTTTTTCTTTTTTGATGGTGCTAGAAATCTGAAGCTTTGTGCTTGCTAGGCAAACCTTCTACCAACTACTCCTCCAGCATATATATCATTACCCTATTTCAGAAATTCAATTCTGATCTAAAGTTAGAATAATAGCTACTGTCAAAAACTGAAGCAAGATTATACAAAATAACAAATCTCAGGTGGAAAATTTACTACAAAAATTCATAAGATATACTTTCTCAGAATTCTATTATATCAAATCAATAATCACAGTTTTGAAATGTGTCAGTTCATACCTATGATACAAGATGTAAAGGTCTGCTTATAATGTATGGGAGACTGAAAAACAGCTGGTATGTGAATCTGCCTTTGAGGAAGGAAAGCAGATTTTATTTTCTGCCTACTTGGGAAGCATAGCTCAGAGCCATTTATCTCCTGAAATGGAAAGATTCAAGTTATTCTAAAGGTTAAAAAATAAAATAAAACAAACCAAAAAAAACTCTTTACCAATCAGTACTTTTCTTACATATATTTAAGCAAACATATAATATTACTCTTAATTCCTAAAAATTAATGAAAATTGTTTCCTAATTGTAAATGAGAAATAAGATAAAGCCAGAATAGCTACACCTGGTAGCTGTTACCTGGTCCTTGAAACTCAAAATAAGATTTAACTTTTCTTGTCTTCCCCTTAATAAGTTCTTCAGTAACTTTTGCTAAGAAAAAAAATTAACTAATGCAATTGGATTATGCCTTTATTGACTTGAAGAACGATTCAAAATCAACACGTAATAGACTACTTTTACTATAGTAACAATCAAATTGACAAGACTAGATAGGCTGAGAATAAAAACAAGCATAGTACTGGTGCAATTAGGACTAAGAGGTAGAATTTATTAAATACTTATTATGTGCCAAATACTGCAGCACAGACATTAAAATATGTAATAAGTTCACTTAATGTTCACAATTATTAAGAAAGCTTTTAAGTCAACAGAGATGACTCTGGCTAGAGTTCTAGATTGAGAAAAACCATATGCACCAAAGGTGAAGTTGCTTGCAATAATTTTGTTAATTCTTTTGTTGAAATTGAGACGAGTACTGGAAACAATGCACCCAAATGACTGATGCCATTTCCTCACCTGTAAAACAGTTACACTGTAGCTGAAGCAGGCAGACCTTCCTAACACATTTTGAATTTCCTCAGTTTTGGAAGTCTGCTTTAAATTTGAAGAAAGTGCTTTCTTTCTAGAAACCAAATCTTGACTGCTAAGATCCTGGTGTTGATAGAGCATGCCTTTTATCATTTGTAAATGCACAGAATCTACAGAGCTTTCATTTATAGCATCACCTTGTCTTTCACTCAGATCACTAAAATGCATCCCAGAAAGCATCTCAGCAAAGAACTCATCTTTTACTTTTCTCTCAACTCTGTTTAGAGCAGTCAAGTCACATTGGGGTGTGTTTTGATATTTTAGCCACTTGCTTTGAGTAGATTTAATACCAAGCATTGAAACATCTCCTGGAGGCATTTCCCTAAATACTTCAGAGGAAAAAGTTTCACTTTGGTCCTCAAGCCCAAAGCTAAAAGGAAGAACTTCTGACTCCTCACACAAGTTGAACAAAGGAGAATTAGAAGATGATTGTTCACAGCCAGTCACAAAAGAAGAATCTAAGTCATCTGACCTGTCAGCAGATGGCAGAGTAGCAAAAGGAATCTGGCCTCTACTTACAAAGGGAGGCCTTTGAAGGATCTTACTCTGTAGAGAACTAGATTTTTTCATTCCTAAAAGAAAACAGAATGTTGATTAAATAAATATGTACTACCAGCCATCAAAGCCTTCAAGAAACAGTGGCTATCTATACAAAAGCAGAAATACCTCATTGCCCTATTCAGGTTCTGAAACTTTTTTGGGGGGTCCGGTCATGGGGTCTGAACTCTGGGTTCTGGGTGCTGTCCCTCAGCTCTTCAGCTCAAGGCTAGCGCTCTACCACTTAAGCCACAGTGCCACTTCCGGCTTTTTCTTTTTGCTTATGTGGTGCTGAGGAATTGAACCCAGGGCCTCATGCATGCAAGGCAAGTGCTCTACCACTGAGCCACCTTCCCAGCCCCTCTGAAACTTTTTGAGGCTCATGAACTTGAAGTTCTTTTTTTCCTTCTACTTAAGGACCTTTCCCCCTAAGTGCTATATTACAGTTACTCAGTATTTAAATTTTCAAAACCATTTTAAAGCCAAGAATGGATGCATCATCCTCATTTTATAGATGAGATTATGGGGCCCAGAGAGAACATGGCATTATCAGGCTAAGTATCTGGAAGTAGTTTGGTTTTTACATTTGTTTGTTTGTTTTTGCTAGTACCAGGGCTTACACTTAGGGCCTAGTCATCTCTCTCTCTCAACTTTCATATTCATTGCTAATGTGCTACTATTTGAGCCACACTTTGAGTCTATTATTTTGTTGGTTAATTGGAGATGGAGTCTCATACACTTTTCTCCCCTGGATGCTTGATCCTACAGACCTCAGCCTCCTGAGCAGCTAGAATTACAACCACCAGCCACTGCCGCTGGTATAGTTCTCAGTTTTTAATATTTAATTTATATCTCTTTTCCAGAAACTAAAGTTCACTTAATATTGAGTGATTGTAACTTACTATGAACTTCTCATAACTTATTGTTACTCTCAAGACTAGGAAACTGTTGGCTTTAATTTGATCTACTGAAAGGTAATGGTAAAATCATGGCAGACTGGTGTGGATAAGTCTTTATAATTCATTCTATCAGCAACTTTACTAAAAGAGATACTTGTATAAGAAGTTAACAGTGCCGAATGCAAAACTATGAATAACACTTCATGGGAACTATACAAACTTAAAAGTTTGTATCTGACAATGCATACATTGCTGACAAGGTGACTGTTTTGTTGGCAGTAAATTCTAGAGATCATTTGGGAATAAACAGAGTACTAGATAAGCCAATGAATATTCTTTTATAAAGTGTGTATTGTAATTCAACAAAGTTTTCAAAGTATTCAAGAATGGACAGAAGAGATGAAATTCCTTTAAAGAAGTAAAAGATTCACAGCTGGGCATGGAGGTACACACCTGGGACCCAAGCCCTCCAGAGGCAAAAAGATCTGCAATTCCAGGCCAGTCTGAACTATATAGTGGGCCTCCGTTTCAATAGATCAACCAACAAAACAAACAAAATAAGTGAAATTTTTAAAAAAAAATCACTTGTAACGCCACTGGAGACTTACTTATTTTAGAATGTCTTCCTTCTCCTCCCATCCTGACTTGCCTTGTCTTTTGCATTCTAACAACCACATCGATTAACCATCTCAAACCCAACTACCTATACATATTAAATTGTTTAAATAATTTTTTATTGAGATTAAGTATCACATAAATTTCACAAATTTTACAGTATCGTGGGATAGTGATACTTAGTTAAAGTCACAAACACATTTTAACCTTCACAAGGCAAATTGTCTTATCATGGTCTATAAAGTTTGTGAATTCTATAAGTATTAAATTTTTTATATGATCAACTCACAACCAAAAAAAGTTACCTACAACTTCACACTTCACCCAAAGAACTTCAAAATCAAAAGGAGATACATTAAAGACATTATAAAGAAAAGAGAAGGGTTGAGTACCAGCAGCTCATACCTGTAACTACTCAAGAGGTGAGATCATAAAAATCACAATCCTGGCTAGCACAAAAAAAAAAAAAAAGAGAGAGAGAAAGAGAGAGACTTCAGCTCAACAGAAAAAGGTGGGCAAGTTGTGTAAATTGGAGGATTGAAATCCAGGCTGACATCACAGGCCAGGATACCATAAAAACACTTGCACATCCATGTTCATTGCTGACTATTCACAATAGCCAAAATACTGAAGCAGCCCAGATAAGTGGATCCAAAAAATGTGGTATCTACACACAATGGAATTTTACAAAGCCATTAGAAAAAATAATACTGTCATTTGCAGGGAAATGGATGGACCTAGAACAAGTCATGTTAAATGAGGTAAGCCAAGCTCAGAGAGATAAATAGCTCATGTTTTCTCTCACATGCTGAAACTAAATATACAATACACTGGGACATGATAAATTATACAGGACTTCACATACACAGTGAGACCAAGAGAGTACTCTTAGGAGAGAAATACAAAGGTGTAATGCCTATGTGTCTCTGATCATATAAAATAATATATATCAAAATGAACTCCAAAAAATGGAAACAACTTTTTTTATTTGTTGTATTTGTTTTCTTTCTGTCTGGTCTGTTTGTCTGTCTTTGGGAGGGGTGCAGCAGTGATGCTCACTGGACACTGTTGAAAGTGAACTGCAGTATAAAACTTGCAGGTGAGGATGGGAAGGAGAGACAGCAAGGCAAAGGGTAACACTGTACAATAGGAAATGTATTCATTACCTGACTTATGTAACTGTAATCCCTCTGTACATCACCTTTATAATAATGATAAAGTTAATTAAAAATTAAAAATAAAATTTACTTTCAGTTTGGTGCTTAAAAAAATAAAGAAACAGAATCCAGGATCATTTGGGGAGGAAGGGTACAAAAACACAAGATTGTATTAAAAAATGGCCAGATCAAAAAGGACTAAAGTATGGCTCACACCTTGAGCTCAACCTCCAGTATCAAAACACACACACACACACACACACACACACACACACACACACACACACACAAAAGAGAGAAAGGAAAAAGAGAGATCCTACAGAATATTATAGTTAACAAGAAGCAGTGATGTTCATAAGAACTAATCAAAATGTGTAAAAACCCTGAGTTCTAGAGTATAATGGTGATGGCAGCAGGTGAAGTTTTGGGATGCTGCCAGAGTAAAAAAGGAAACCAATAGGTTTTCCTAAGGGAAACAGTGGTGTTAATGACATTCACAACGAGCCTTTTCTTGGGTGAGTAATGTACCAGCTCTGGAGTTTCAGCTATGAAGTATGACAAAGTTGGAAGACACACCTAGAGGGAGAGCTAGGAGGTGGTATTGTACTTACAACATCTATCCACAAGAGAGAAAGTCAAAAGAAGAAAAGGTATGGGAAAGCTTCACGGGAGATGGCACTGAATCCAGTTCCTAGATATTTTTAGCTTAGTAACTATCTCCCATAAACCACTTCAGTTTACATGAATGAATACATATGAAGGGTGACATAGTAGTTTAAAGATCACCAGGTAAAGTTCTTGCTTTCAGAGATTCCTCGGAGAACTCAATCACAACGTCTTCATTTCTTGAGTTCAAAGAAAAAGGAGAGGCTGGATTCAATGTAGAGATCTTTTGTTCTGGCGATATTACCTATCCGGAAAGAAGAAAAAACAAGTCTTCTTACTAAATGAGAAAGTAAGAAAACCTTATTTGTTTGATTTCAGGTAATCTATATTATAAAAATTATTTCAAGCACATTATATAGAACTATGGTGAAGACAAAAAAAACTATAAAATGTGCTCCAAAAAGGAAACAGTAAACACTAAAATCAACAAGAACAGACAGTAAAATACAAAATATAAAGACTTTGGATTCTTTCAAAATGAGTATCTGATTTGAACTGACCTAGACCAGTTTCTACTTTAAAGGGCTCAGGGCAAATCAAACCTCATGTTTGGATACATCGTGCACACTCAAGGCTGAAGTAGCTCTCACATCCTCCAGTTAAGAGAATCTCAATAGTTGATATAAACTTCAGTGATAGAGTGGGTGATAAGGCAGGTGCCAGTGGCTTACACCTGTAATCCTAGCTACTCAGGAGGCTGAGATCTGAGGATAACGGTTCAAAGCCAGCCCAGGCAGGAAAGTCCATGAGACTCTTATCTCCAATAAACCACCAGCAAACTGGAAGTGCTGTTGTGACTCAAGTGGTAGAGTGCTAGCCTTGAGCTGAAGAGCTGAGGGATGCGACCAGGCCCAGAGTTCAAGCCCCTTGACCAACAAATAACCACACGCACACACACACACACACACACACAAAAAAAAACAACTTTAAGTATGCTCACAAATACAATGAGTTTTTTGTTTTTTTGTTTGTTTTGGGGGGTTTTTTTTTGGTCATGGGGGTTGAACTCTGGGCCTGGGCACTGTCCCTGAGTTCTTCAGCCCAAGCGAGCATTCTACCAATTGAGCCACAGCAACACTTCCAGTTTTGTGGTGGTTAATTGGAAATAAGAGTCTCACGGATTTTCCTGCCCGTGCTGGCTTTGAACTGTGATCTTCAGATCTCAGTCTCCTGAGTAGCTACGATTACAGGAGTGAGCCACCAGTGCCTGGCTAAATACAGTGACTTTTAAAATATATCCTAGACTTGAATAGCTATATCACTCCTTTTTCTTTCTTTTCTTTTCTTTCTTTCTTTCTTATTTTCTCTCTTTCTTCCTTTCTTTCCAGTATGAGGTTTGAACTCAAAGATTCACATTTGCTAGATTGGTTCTCTACCACTTGAGCCATGCAGTCCTGTTTCTGACTTGCTATACACATATGAAAGAATAAATGCTTAAAAGATTACTCATCAAACTCTTTTTTGTTGTTCTGTTTGAGAGAGTCTCCCTAAGTACCCCAGGCTAGCCTCAAGCTCTCAAACCACCTTGTCTCTGCCTCTCAAGTGCTGTGATTATTGGTATATACCACAATGTCCAGCAAGAATGTTTTTGATGAGAGTGGGACCTGAGGGAAAGAGCTCTTTAACTTGAACTTCACAGCCTTCTGGACTGACTTGTAAAAATAAGTTTGTGTATGAGTGTGAACATGTGCACACACATCTGTGTTTATTTTGGTTTTTCTTGGGCTTTTTTGTGTAAATGACAATAAAATTTTGAGGTTTGTAAATACAGCTCAGTGGCAGAACACTCGTCTATCATATGTCTATCATATACTGGGTTAATATCCCCAGCAGTGCCAAAAAAATGTTTATATATTCATTTTAAAGTATTTTCTTGATTAGCAACTGCATCACTGGTGTTGGCCTGGAAATAAGGATATGAAAATAAACACTCTTAGTCTCTGTATTCAGTTTGGTCTAATGAAAGACAGACATGCAGATGGGAAAATATAGCTATGTTATCAATTAGAACTATATTAAGAAGTTCTTACTATGTGGCAGGGCCTGTGCATATAATATATATACTATGTATCTATGTATCTAAGCACTTTTCACTATTAACTTTAATCCAGAATATAACCTTGTGGGTTATATAGACTCTTATTTCCCTTATTTTGCAACTCTCTAAAACAATCTCTCTGAAAGTGTCCTGTGTGATACTCTCTGATCAGACCAGCCTGGGCAGAAAAGTCTCTGTGAATCCCTTATCTCCAATAAACCACTCAAAAATTGGAAGCAGAGCTGTAGTTCAAAGTGATAGAGCTAACTAGCCTTGAGCAATAGAGCTTAGGTACAGCACTGAGACTCTGAGTTCAAGCCTCATGACCAAAAATATTTAAAAGGACATCTGCACACCAGTAATTGTTGCATTACTATTCACAAGAGCCATGATATGGAGTCAACTTGTCCATCGACAGATAAATAAAGGAAATACTGTATATGTACACAATGACATATTCAGCCATGACAAAGAATAAAATTGCACCATTTGTAGCACTATAGATGGAACTGGGAAACATAATATTAATTAAGGCAGGCTCAGAAAGACAAATATAACACATTCTCACTTCTACATGGAAACAAAAATGTTTACCCTACAGAATTAGAGAATAGTGATTACCACAGTGATTATTTGGGAAAGGTATGAGGGAAGTGGAAAAAAGATAGTTAAGTGGAGCCAGGTGCCAATGGCTCATGAGGCTGAGATCTGAGGATCACAGTTTGAAGCCAGCCTGGGCAGGAAAGTCTGTGAGACTCTTCTCTCCAATTAATCACAGAAAAGCCAGAAGTGGTTCTGTAGCTTTAGTGTAGAGTGCTAGCTAGCCTTAAGCAAAAAGACTTTAGGGACAGTGCCCAGGCACAGAGTTCAAGGCCCAGGAAAGGCAAAAAAGAAAAAGGACAGTTAATTGGTACAGAGGTATAGCTTGATAGAAGGAGTATTTTCTATGCTCTATAACCAAGTGAGAAAACATGGTTGACAACAATGAACTGAATATTTCAACATAACTAGTAGAAAGGATTTTGAAGGTTCCAACAAAGAAACTGTAAATGTTTCAGGCAATAGATATGCCAATTACCATTATCTGATATTTTTCTCAAATCTAGTGCCTCTACCACTTGAGCCACAACTCTACTTCCAGCTTTATGGTGGTTAACTGGAGTCTCATGGACTTTCCTTTCTGGGCTAGCTTCAAACCACAATCCTCAGATCTCAGCCTCCTGAGTAGCTAGAATTACAGACATCAGCCACAATCGCCCAGCTAAAATGTTTGAAAAAATGAATTTTAAAAGCCTAAGATGATGACAAAGTTTTGAGATCTACTTTTTTAAACACCAATGCATGTAATGCTACTGAGTTACACATTTTAAAATGGCAAATTTGTGATATGTAGTTTTGTCACAATTAAAAATTTTGGTATTTTTAAAGTCTGAAAGATGAAGCATTGGCTAATGGACTTCTTTCTGAATGATATGTAACAAAATACTTATTTCAGTTGTAGCACTGAATGTGATACAAATGAACATGTTTCTTTTTCTATAAAGGGTACTCTCCAATTTATTTTCCTCTCAGAAAACACAAAAAATAAGAAACAGAAACTATCTTGGATGAGACTAAAAAACAAGGGTAATTATAAGTTATAACACTAAAAGGATGAGGAGCAGCATAGACTTAGCAATATGGAGGAGTACCTCAGTAGCTACTTTAGGAAAGTCTTATTATAAGCTGACTTGCCCCCAATAACCATGAGAATCCTCAAAGTAGGATATGATGAACTATTATAAACAACTATATGCTACAAATTGGAAAATCTAATAAACTACTCAGGTCTTATGTAGTTTGAGATATTATACTTCCTGTCAAGTTACTACTATGCTATACAAAGATTTAACAATAATTTCTTTTACAAAATTTAGTATTGACATAAAGAAAATGATTTGGCAAATGCAACTATAAAAGTATTTTTACCTCCAAGACGTCAGCCTGCATATAAGTGCTAGGCAAATCTGGAGCCAAGAAGCACATATCTGTCATGAAGTCTTTATATTCCATGCTATTTGGCAAGTGACTGCGTTCTACCAGCTGTGAGCGATGTCCTCTGACCATTTCACCACTAGTAGCTGATCCTTTCACTTGGTGCCCTTGAAACTCAACAGGCTGTAGGCAAATTATTAAAAATAAGAATGACATAAGTATGTATTTGCAATATATATTAAATATAATTTAACTTTTTATTAAATATTACTTAATGAAAATAAATGCTAGGAGACTAATACTGAAAGTCAAGAAACACTTCCATTATCCTAAAACATGTTAAGTGTAACCACTTTAAAGTGCATTGATTTAACTACATTCATATCAATATTAATCCAAATGAATTCTATGTTACTATGTAAGGACAAATATATCAGCTAATTAAAGAGGAAGAACTAGTTGTCCCTCTTTATGCAGTTTTTACACATTACATATATAATAAGTTACATATGATATGATAGATTATAGACTCATTATTTTATACTACAATGAAGTTTCTCTTTGCTTATATACAAATATACTACAAGTTCCCTGAGGGCACAGACATTTTTCCCTCAAAAAAAAAAAAAGGTAATTATAAGTTATAATATAACTTATATGTATCACCTGCATTCAATACAGTTCTGGCATATGGGAAACAATCAATACAAAGGAGAAAGAGGGCCAGGCACCAATGGTGGTGGCTCATGCCTATAATCCTAGCTACTCAGGAGGCTGAGATCTGAGGACTGCGGTTCAAAGCCAGCCTGGGCAGGAAAGTCTGTGAGACTCTTATCTCCAGTTAATAACCACAAAACTGGAAGTAGTACTTTGGCTAAAGAGGTAGAGCACTCACCTTGAGCTGAAGAGCTGAGGGGCAGCACCCAGGCCCAGAGTTCAAGCCCTATGACAGAAGGAAGGAAGGAAGGAAGAAAGAAAGGAGAGAGGGAAGGAGAGAGAGGAATGCAGGAAGCATTTTCCTTAGCTTAAAGCTTCTGTAAAGTATTGTTTAACTAGTGGGCTAATCAGTTATAGAGAGTGGGTCCTCTTCAAAGGCCTTATTCTCCAAAGTTCTCTTATCCCCTCATAAAAGTGGTCTGCTTTCAGGCTTTAAACAGCTTTCTCTGCTACCCCCTTGAGGGTTTTGGGATTATAATCTATATAGGGTAACAGCCTGGAAAAGTAAGATTGCTAAAGGAATGTCCATAAAGGATTCATTTATTTTTAACTAACAAATTTACAAAATGACGACATAGAATCTGAAAATACTAATTCAAGAGTCTAAATTAATTAAGAAACAAAATTAAATCTAAATGCCCTTTCATATAAGACTTTCATGAAGTAGCTGTACAAAGGGGTTTCAATTCAATATGTCATTTCGTGAGTACAATGCATCTTGATCAACGTTACCCCTTCCATCCTTCTCCCTCTCTCCCAGCTCTGCCTTCCCCAAGTTACCTGGCTCTGTTTCCACCTATGTACATTGAGTATTATGACTGCATTCTCCCACTCTTCCTCTCTTCATTCATCTGTCCCCCTCCCCTTAACCTCACTCCTCATACGTAAAACACATATTCCAGGTTCCTGGTGTTCATTTTGTGAAACACAAGCTAAGTGTTCAAAGGATTTTAACCACTGGAATTCTCCCCAGCATATCTAAAAGCATACTTGTAGATATGATGAGGTATGTCATCTATAAAACTTTGATCTAGGTGTTTGTGGATCATTCCTATAATCCTGGTTACTCAGTAGGTTCATACCTGAAGGATTTAAAGCCAGTCTGGGCAGGAAAGTATGGGAAAGTCTTGTCTCCAATTAACCAGCAAAAAAGCCAGCAGTGAGGCTGTGGCTTAAGTGGTAGAGCACCAGCCTTGAGTAAAAAAGCTAAGGGAAAGTTCCCAGGCCCTGATTTCAAGCCGTAGTACAGGCAATAAATAAATAAATAAGCAAGCAAGCAAGCTGGGCTGGAAATATGGCTCAAGTAGTATAGCAACAGCTGAATGAGAAAATCAAGAAGCTGAGTAAACTCGAGGCCTTGAGTTCAAATCCTAAAGCAAAATATATGCAACTTTTTCTTTTTTCTGGTGGTAGTAGAGATTGAGTCTATGGTGGGGAATATCCACTCCTTACAAGGAAATAGGTGTCTTCTGTGCTGCCATGTACCTCTTCCAGAAGTATGATGGGCTTCAGAAACAGAATCACTATTTACAATCTCATTTGCTGTCTCTTACTTTTTAATGTGGAGCAGATAACACTATTTACAACTGAAGCTATATAAAGTTTTACACATTCAATCATAAAGTGAAGGAGACCATAAGTTAAAAGCTATAAAGAAATTCATTGTTCACCACACACATTCATTAATTGTTCAACCCTAGTATAACCTATGCACAGATATTATATATACTGTATTCTTAGTTCACTAATAATACAGAAAAGGTTCAAGGGAAAAAAAAAAAAGGAGATAGAAGCTAGGAATTTTTAAGTAGTTTTCCTTGGGGCAATAATATAGCTCAGTGGTAGAGTACTTGCTTAGCATGCTCAAGGCTCTGGATTCCACCCTCAGCAGTGAAGGGCGTGGCTCTTATTCTTAAAACCAGTCTAATTTATTTTGCCAGTTTTCTGACTGAAAACTCTTTTTGCCTATGTTGAAATACATACACACACACACACACACACACACACACACACACACACACACACACACACACACACACACACGATATGGCAGGAAGAGTTCAAGGATTAAGGGAGCAAATTATATATCTTACCTTAGGATCACAGACATTTCCTTCTATTTCTTTAGGAATAACTGCTTGAAATGCAGAATTTTCTTCATTTCCCACAGGAAAGAACTAGAATAAAATATCAATATGTTAGCTGTTATCTAGCTTATTACAATAATTCTGTAGACGACTCATGATTTTGATGGGAAAACACTTAAATAACAAGGTTAAGTTTGATCTTTGAAAGCACAACTGTTCTATCTTGTTTTGCAACTTAAGCTATATAAAGTTTTACACATTCAATCATAAAGTGAAGGAGACCATAAGTTAAAAGCTATAAATTCATTTTGTTCACCACACACATTCATTAATTGTTCAACCCTAGTATAACTTATGCACAGATACTGTATATACTATATTATTAGTTCACTAATAATACAGAAAAGGTTCAAGGGAAAAAAAAAAAAGGAGATAGAAGCTAGGAATTTTTAAGTAGTTTTCCTTGGGGCAATAATATAGCTCAGTGGTAGAGTACTTGCTTAGCATGCTCAAGGCTCTGGATTCCACCCTCAGCAGTGAAGGGCGTGGCTCTTATTCTTAAAACCAGTCTAACTTATTATGCCAGTTTTCTGACTGAAAACTCTTTTTGCCTGTGTTGAACACACACACACACACACACACACACACACACACACACACACACACACACACACACACACACACACACACACACACACACGATATGGCAGGAAGAGTTCAAGGATTAAGGGAGCAAATCATGTATCTTACCTTAGGATCACAGACGTTTCCTTCTATTTCTTTAGGAGTAACTGCTTGAAATGCAGAATCTTCATTTCCCAAAGGAAAGAACTAGAATAAAATATCAATGTTAGCTGTTATCTAGCTTATTACAATAATTCTGTAGACGACTCATGACTTTGATGGGAAGAGACTTAAATAACAAGGTTAAGTTTGATCTTTGAAAGCACAACTGTTCTATCTTGTTTTGCTCTCGATACACATACACAATCTAACCCTGCCAGCCCTCACAAAAAAGAAAAAGTGCTCTGATAGATAAAGTACTCAAATTAGCATACTCAGCATACTAAAAACTTCTGGTCTATTCTTTTTCCAGTTCTGGGACTTGAACTCAGGGCCTGGGTGTTGTCCTTGAATTCTTTTGCTGAAGGCTAGTGCTCTACCACTTGAGCCACAACTCCACTTAAAGCTGTTTTAGCAGTTTATTAGAGATGCAGACTTTACTGCCCAAGTTGGCTTTGAATGACAATCCTCAGATGAATCTCCTAAATAGGTAGGTGCCAAGCTTTCAGCTAGTTTTTGTTTTGTTTCTGTTGGTTGTGGGGCTTGAACTCAGGGCCTGGACACTGTCGCTGAGCTTTTTCACTCAAGGCTAGTGCTCTACCACTTTGAACCACACCTGCACTTCTAGTTTTCTGGTGGTTAATTGGAGATAAGAATCACATGGACTTTCCTGCCAGGCTGGCTTTGAACTGTGATCCTCAGATCTCAGCCTCCTCAGTAGCTAGAATTACAGGTGTGAGACACTGGCACCTGACTCTGATCTACTTTTTTTTTTTTTTTGGTCGGTCATGGAACTTGAACTCAGGGCCTGGGCACTGTACCTGACGTCTTTTGCTCAAGTCTACCACTTTGAGCCACAGCTCCACTTCTGGTTTTTGAGAGGCTAATTGGAGATAAGCGTCTCACTAGGACTTTTCTGCTTGGGCTGGCTTCAAACCATGATCCTCCTGAGCATCTAGGATTATAGGCGTGAGCCACCGGTGCCCAGCCTGATCTAGATTTTTAATTAAAACTTTTACAACTAGAAAAAATTGTTAACTACATAACAATCTAATACTTCTCTTAATGCGAACTATTTGCTTAAAAATTTAGTATTCTACTTATACATACAAATTTTATGTATTAAAACTGAATTAAGCCAAACACAGTGGTGCACACTTAAAATCACAACACTTATTATGCTGAGGCAGGAGGATTGGTTTTTTTTTGTTTGTTTTTTTGGAGGAGATCCGGTCGTAGGGCCTGAACTCTGGGCTTGGGCGCTGACCCTCAGCTCTTCAGCTCAAAGCTAGCACTCTACCACATGAGCCACAGTGCCACTTACTTACTTAGTAAGACCCTGTCTCAAAAATTAGTTAATTAGGGGTTGGTCATAGTAGTGTGCACCTGTAATCTTAACATGCATAAGAACATCACAATTCAAGGCCCACCCAGGCAAACAAGGTAAGACCTTATCAGGAAAAACAACTAGGCCAAAAAGGAGATAGAGGTGTGGCTCAAATGGTATAGTAGGTACAAAGCCAGTACAGGATTTCAATAACCTGGCTCCAACCCCTAGATGTCAAAATAATCATTAATATGAAGTTAAAGGAGAAAATACTAAGCTGGATTTTTGGGGCTCAGAACTATAATACTCAGGAGGCTGAGGTCTGAAAATTAAGGTTTTAAGCCAGTCTGGGCAAACAGCAGTCTAATCTAAACCAAAGTTAACTAAGTACAAATTAGTTTGAAAACTGAGAATTAATAATATAAGCTTAAAATTATGTTCCATATATATATTATATATGTGTATGTGTGTATATGTGTATGTATATATATGTATATATATATATATATATATATATATAAGTAAACTCACTGGTAGAGGCTCAAGTTGTTCACTTGGCTCAACTTCATTTTCAGGTAGAACCTTAGAAAGAATATTAATATAAATATAATAATTAACAACAAAGGAAAATAAAAAATACCAGAACATCACTACTAGTAAGAAATGAAAACTAGGAAGTAGCACTGTGGCTCAAAGTGGTAGAGTGCTAGCCTTGAGCACAAGGAGCTCAGGGAAAGCACCCAGGCCCTCCATTCAAGCCCCACACCAGCAGTAACAACAAAAAAGAAATAAAAACAAAAATTTTACCAAATGCTGGTAGCTTAACACCTGTAATTCTAGCTACTCAGGGGGCTGAGATCAGAAAGATCATAGTTCAATGACAGAAAAGTCCCGAAGATGTGCTGGGAAGGTGGCTCAGTGGAAGAGCTCTTGCCTTGCATGCATGAGGCCCTGGGTTCGATTCCTCAGCACTACATAAGCAAAAGGAAAACTGCCGAAAGTGGTGCTGTGGCTCAAGTGGTGGAGCACTGGACTTGAGCTGGAAGAGCTGAGGGACAGCGCCCAGGCCCAGAGTTCAGGCCCCACAACCAGACCCCCCCCTCAAAAAAAAAAGAAAAAGAAAAAGAAAAGTCCTCAAGACTCAAGTTTCCAAAATAGCCATGAAAAAGTAGGCCTGTAGACATGGTTCAAGAAGTAGAGCACCAGCCAAGCAAGCAAGCTGTTAAACATGAAGCCCTCAGTACAAACCCCAGTAATGCCATAAAAATAAACAAATAAAATTTTAGTAAGACATTATTTTTACTGAGCAAAATGTTAAAAAAAAAAAAAAAGGAGAGAGAGAGAGAAAATCCTTCCAGTAAAATGATAAATGTATTTTTTTCTTTTTTCTTTTTGTCGGTCATGGGACTTGAACTCCAGGCTAGGGTGCTGACCCTGTACTCTTCAGCTCAAGGCAAGTGCCCTACCACTTGAGCCACAGTGCCACTTCCGGTTTTTGAGTAGTTTATTGGAGACAAGAGTCTCACAGACTTTCCTGCCTGGGCTGGCTTTGAACCTCGATCCACAGATCTCAGCCTCCTGAGTAGCTAGGATTACAGGCATGAGCCACCAACGTCCGGCAGATGTATTTTAAATTTGATATTAAGAAACAAAGTTGTTCTTAGTCTTTCCTTTTTAACTGTGTTTTTTTTTTTTTTTTTTTGGTTTTTTCTTTGTTGGTACTGGGGATCAAACCTAGGACACTGCACTTTCTAGACAAGTACATCCCAGCCCCGTTTCTATTTTTGGGGGGGTCGGTTGTGGGGCCTGAACTCTGGACCTGGGTGCTGTCCCTCAGCTCTTCAGCTCAAGGCTAGCATTCTAGCAGGAGCCACAGCGCTACTTCTGGCTTTTTCTGCTTATGTAGTGCTAAGGAATCGAACCCAGGGCCTCATGCATGCAAGGCAAGCTCTCTACCACGAAGACATCTTCCCAGCCCATTTCTAGTCTTTTGAGTAATCATTTCTACTTCTAGGAATAGAATCTAAGGGAAAAAACTTGAAGTACAATGATTACATGCCAAAATATTTACTGAAATATTATTTATAACCACAAAACACCAGAAATAATCCAGATGTCCAAAAACAGGGAACTATTGTTCAAAGCACAAGCCATCCACAGAATGGATGGAATCATTAGTAACCTTCAAAGGTTTAAGAAGAGTTCTTAATAATGTAAGTAAATGCAATATATTAAAGGGAAAGGTAACAAACTACTTATACACCACAATTTAACTATGTTGCTTTTACATAAGCACAAAAAATTGAGAAGTTAGCAATCTATATCTGGGAAGTAGTATAAATAAATTTTCTCCATAGTTTTCTTTTTCTTTTTTTTTTTGTTGGTCATGGGGCTTGAACTCTGGGCCTGGGCACTGTCCCTCAGCTCTTCAGCTGAAGGCGAATGCTCTACCACTTGAGCTACAGCGCCACTTCCGGTTTTCTAGTGCTTTATTGGAAATAGGAGTCTCACGGTCTTACCTGCCCAAGCTGGCTTTGAACCTCGATCCTCAGATCTCAGCCTCCTGAGTATCTAGGATTACAGGCATGAGCCACTGGGCACCCGGCTCTCCACTGTTTTCTAAATTTAAAAAAATAATATTCTCACTAAGCATTGGCAACTCATGCCTGTAATCCTAGCTACTCAGGAGGCTGAGATGTGAAGATCACAGTTTAAAGCCAGCCATGACAGTAAAGACCATGAGACTCTTTTATCTGCAATGAGCCAGCAAAAAGCCAGAAGTGAAGTTGTGGCTCAAGTGGTAGTGTGCCAGTGTTGAGTGAAAAAGCTTAGTGCCAGACAGGAGAATCAGGAGTTCACTGTCAGGGATACCTAGCAAAACTCAACAAAACCAAAAAGACATCAAGATTTTAAAGAAGGAAATAGTCTATTAATATGGAAAATATTCAAAATAAAGGCAAAGATTTCACTTTTCTTCCAAACATGTTTTCTAAAGAAGTGCCATATAAGTTTTCTCTCCAGAAAAACTTAACAGCATCTACATAAATACTACTCTGGGTGATTTTTTTTTCCCTAGAATTTCAATTCATCCTAATTAGTATTATTATTTCTAAAACTGCTATCTGGTTCCCAACTATGCAATAAAGTACATTAAGAGGTCCAAAACAGGGGTTCCTCAAGATGTTTAAACTCAAGGAAACAGTGTTAATACCTATGGGACAGGAAAGATAGTTCAATTTCAACATAAGATCTTTGACAAACAATAATTCTTTTGAGAAAATCAATATGGAATAGGATGGTATCGTTCCATCTGTTCCAAGGTCTAGAAGTTGTGCAGTTTCCAGCAGGGGCACACATTCCATTAATAGCTGTGTTTATTTAAAAATGAAATGCTTACTAAGTTACTAGGAAATAAATATTTACTGTTTTAATAGTAGTAAGTACTTAATCAAATTGGAAGTGCTAGGAATTTCTTTTTTTTTTTTTTTGCTTATGTGGTGCTGAGGAATCGAACCCAGGGCGTCATGCATGCAAGGCAAGCGCTCTACCACTGAGCCACCTTCCCAGCCTGGAATTTATTTCTAGTAGCCAAGCAATGCCACAATTTTAAGAAACTATTACAAGGAGTGTCATGAATCAAAAGCTTGGACTTTCTGAAATATTGGAATTCTACTATAAATTACAGAACTATCATATTAAAATAAAGTATGTTTAGAAGAAAATATACAAATACCTGTTGAGAATCCTGCTTTAGTTGAGGAGATACTGGTATAGCTTGTGAAACTACTGTAGTAAATGTTTTCCTAGCTATAATGGAGAAAATGAAACAGTCTTATCCATCATATATATGGTAGTTTCCTAATGTTTTAAGCAGTTCTAAAACTGAAACAAGGAATGTAAGATTTTGAGATGATGCAGTCTTGATAACTTTAATCTGGATTGAGGGAATTTACAGATTATTTTACTATTCTGTATAGGCTGGGAAATGTTCTTGATTAAACAGTTCAAAAGCCAGGCACCAGTGGCTCACACCTGTAATTCTAGCTATTCAGGAGGCTGGTGATCTGAGGAGCAAGGTTCAAAACCAGCCTGGACAGGAAAATCTGTAAGACTTAAATCTCCAATTATCCACCATTAAACTGGAAGTGGGGCTGTGGCTCAAGTAGTAGAGCATTTAGCTTGAGCTGAAGAGCTCAGGAACAATGCCCAGGCCAAGTTCAAGCCCCACAACCAACCAAAAAAAAAAAAAAAAAAAGTTCAAAAATATGGCTAGAGGTATGACTCATGTGGTAGAGTATATCAGCCTAGCAAGCTTGATTGAAGCTTCAATGAAGGCCTTCCTTGAAAACATTAATACTGGAAAAAGAAAATTAGACAATACAATATTAATGACTAAGTGAGCAACAAAAATGTTTCCTTGTATTATGGTTTCTCAAACTAACTTTAAAAATAAAGTTGTTGTATTGAAATGCCTTTGTACAACTACTTAAAACTAAAAAAATTAATATAAATAACACTAGGCCAACAACAAATCAACCTACAGTAAAAATGCTAAAAATCAAATAATGACCAATTTTTATGAACAAAGGAGTTGAAATAAACCATGTTGTTGCTGTGTGCAACCACAGAAAAGAAAAAGAAGAAAAAAGCTCCTAAGGCTATTTCTGAGGCCATCTTAAACCCATGACTTAGGGAAAACACTCTCATAAGTTATTTTGTAAGCACAGCATGCCAACACTGAGGAAACAGCAATAAAACAAAATCTCTTGAAAAGGAGGGCATAGAAGATAATTAAATCAGATTCTAATACAAAAGGGTGTCACTGGGACTAGGAAGGTGGCTCAGTGGTAGAGCACTTGCCTTGCATGCATGAGGCCCTGGGTTCGAATCCTCAGCACCACATAAGCAAAAAGAAAAAAGCCGAAAGTGGTGATGTGGCTCAAGTGGTAGAGCGCTAGCCTTGAGCTGAAGAGCTGAGGGACAGCACCCAGGCCCAGAGTTCAGGCTCCACGACCAGAACCAAAAAAAAGTTGTCACTAAGAAGAGTAATGTAATTTGAATACTTTTCCATAGGGTAATCAGGAAGGCCTCTTATAAGAAGTGAAGACCTAAAGAAAACACTCATTAGTACCATCGATAAAAGTGTTCATGTAAAAGACAGAACAAAGCAGAGTAGGAGACAAAAAAGTTGGCAAGGCAGAAGAACAGAAAAGACGGCAAAGACTAGTTATTACACCTGGCCAGGTCACCATTTAAAAGTAGGATGTTTTCCCCAGTAAGTACTACAGTTAGAAGCACAGTGCTTGCATAGTACACATAAGACTCTGGATTTCATCTCTAGCACTACAAAAAATAAATAAGTAAACAAATAAATCAATAAACAGAAAATAATAAAATAAAAATAAAAAATGCACATTCAATAATCTAAGAATCTCTATTTGTTCTAAAATAACAAAAAGGTTGTATATATATATATATATATATATATATATTTTTTTTTTTTTTTTTTGTGCTGGTACTGGTGCTTGAACTCAGGGACTTGAGCTCTTGGTTGGATTTTGAACTCAAGGGCACTCTAGCACTTGAGCCACACCTCTGCTTCCACATTTTTGGTGGTTAATTTGGAGATAAGTCTCACGGACTTTTCTTCCAGGGCTGGCCTTGAATTGTGATCCTTCTGTTCACTCTGCTAAACTGACAGGCATGAGCCACCACCCTCCACATGGCTCCCTAAGTTTTTAATAGAACTGTCAGAGTATCTATTATCCTTTGAGCTACAAAGAGAACACTCCAAAAGACATGGCATTCTGACCTTTAGGACTGCTATCTGGCTCATATGTTTGCTCAATTCCTCGTTGTTGAAAGGCAGAGTCTTTCTTTTGAAATATTTCTAAGCTTTCTAAGGCTGTACTATGTTCAGATAGTGATTTTAAGAGAGAAAAGTTATTTACTACCCTAGGAAGTTCTGAACAATCTCTAGAGTAACTCCAGGAATGTGTGCTTTTCCTTGTGGTTTCAACTGCAATACAGTCCTGGGGTGAACTTGTAATCCTTTCCAAATCTTCAGGCTCCAGAATACATGCCTCAGTTTCTTCAGAAATGGGATGGTTTTCTCTCAGAGGGCAAACTAAAGAATTGAAGCCTTGAGTTTTTGATTTATCAAAGGTAATATATTCAGAGTGATCCTTACTGGTATTTAATAGTTGGATATTATCATCAGTGTTAGAGATTGGTGTTAAAACCTCATGTTCATTTTTGTCTAAGTTACTTTCCAAAATAGAAGACTGAGAGTGAGCATCTTCTGAAAACACATAATTGTTTTTAGGAGTCTGATTAGTGACTGTGTCTGAAAAGTAAGGCATATGTAAGCTCCTTTTTAAACCTTCAGACTTACTCAAAGGTGAAACACAATCATAGTTACTTCTAATTTTTTGGATAGATTTTTCAGCACCTTCATTGCTATCCGCATGCTCATCAACAACATCCCATTCTAAGGACAAGTCAAAATTGCTTACTGTGTCCCTATCCTGTTCCTCTATCGCTTTTCCAGTGTTTACATCTTTACAAGCTCCAGTGTCAAAACCCACACAAATTCTATCACAAAACTCTGATAACAGAGGCTCTTTTCTGGGCAATATTTCCATAAGTTTGCCACCAATAGCTGTTAAGAGTGGTAAAGGTTCATTACCAATTTTTTGACAGTTTATATCCTCACAACTCTTTTGAACACTTGAATTGCCATCATTAACCAAAATTTCTTCTTCCCCTTGCTCTGAATCCTGGGAATGTTTGTTGCTTTCCAGTGATTCCTCATCGGTGTCACTGATCTCAAAATTGCTTAGATTAAAAGTTACCTCTATAGATGGTTGTGAAAGTTCACAAACAGCATTCAGACTTTCACTCTCAGTATGACATTCAGAAGACATGCCTGCAGTACCATCAGAGAGACTAGAGTTGTTGTTATGTAGAAGAGGTTCACCTTGTATATGTTCTGATTTTGGCAGAGGTGACACTGGCTTATAGTCTTGTTCTATCAGTCCATGTGTATAGACTACCTTTTCTCTAATGCAAACTGGTTCTTCTATGCATACTCCATTATGATTAAGAGAGATTTCACTACTTTTTTGATTATTGGATGCCAATAATAAATCATCATTTTCTGTACTGTTACAACTAACCGGTAAGCTGCTGCTTTCACAGAACGGAAGAGATTCTAATTTTTCTTCTTGATTCCAGAATTGGTTGTTGTTGTCTTCATGATACTTTTTTCCATTTTCAGGGCATGCTTCGAGGGTCTTTTGTGCCAAAAAGTTTTTCAAACTTATATCATCTTCCTGGGACTCGGGCTCCCCCTCTCTATCATCCTCATCTACAGTACAACTCTGTGAGGGTAGATATATGGCCCACCGGCTTTTATATCTGCTAGGATTTTCTGATGGTTGCTCATCACGTAGCTTTTCTGTGCCTTTCGTCTGAGCATACTCTTCCTGTTGAACTAAGTGCTTGGATGTAGTAGGATTTTTTTCAGAACTTCCTTGTGGTTCTACCTGAGAAAAATGTCTTGTAATCTCAAAATTTAGGTTTGATTTGGACTTCAGAAGAGCTAATATCTGTGCTTTGCTTCTGATGGTTTGTGAAACTTCACAGTGAGATACTAAACTATTTCTACTTATGGGCTCTTTGGTCAGTAGAGAGTCTGAATGTTTACTTTGAGAATTGATAGAAGAGCAAAAGTAACTTTCTTCGCTTAGCAGTTTTGGGTCACTATTGAAGGATGAAGTAGAGACAACTGAAGAACAAGGTGTGTTATTTCTTTCTATGTTCTTATAAGGGACCACGTTCTCAGGGACTGTTGGCATATTATTTAGATCTCTTTTGCCAACAGTAGAAAACAAAGGAAGAGTGCTTGAGAATGGAGGAAAAAAGGGAAGATGGGGTTTCTCAGTCTCCAATGTTTCAGCTGATGAAGCATTTTCTGTAACAACCACTTTCTCTGGAACTTGATGTGGTCTTTGATAACCCTAAAAACAGTAAAATAATTTTGATATTACCAACTACAAAGAAAACACAAAATCAATTGACTAAAAATAATAAGCTTTGCTTAAGGCAAGGAAATAATGGAATTTTTCCTTTTTCTTTTGGCCAGTCTTGGGGTTTGAAGTCAGGACCTGGGCACCGTCCCTGAGCTTCTTTTGCTCAAGGCTAGCACTCTACAACTTGAGCTACAGCACCACTTCCAGCTTTTTCTGTTTATGTGGCACTGAGGAATTAAACCCATGGCTTCATGCATGCTAAGCAAGCACTCTACCACTAAGCCACATTCCCAGTCCTAGGGAATTTTTCTAACTACTATTTATTACCTTGCTACCAAAATAAACTATGAAGTAACATTTTAATGAGAGAGCACCATAAAAAAAATCTTTTGAAATGATTTTATAAGTATACATTGATATATTATTTTGCACTTACAGTGAATTTCCTTTTTAACCCAGCAGGTTGACATCCAAGAGAGCGGCCAGAAGATACCTTCCTTAAATTGGGCTCTGTTGTTTCAATGATATCCTGTTTAACTGCTCTACTCCCACCAATTTTAACCTCCTCAACTGTGATTAAGTATCGATCACTTTCCAAGTCATCTCCTGGCTTCACCTAAATTTTAAAGGATAATAAATACTTGTTAAGAAATAATAAATAAATAAGAAGATAAATAAAAGTATAATAAATACTTGTTAAATGAAGGAATGAGTTACTAAATCCTTACTTCTTATTATGCACTAGTTAGCAAACAAGCAAAAAAGTGACAATAATACAATAACAAATTTCCCTAGTTTGTTCATTCATAAATACATATTATAGTTCTCTATGAGGCCCTTTGTCACATGCTAAGGGAACAAAGACAAGCAAAAATAAATGTTCCTACTCAAGGAATTTACTTAAGATCTATGTAAGTCCATGTATTTTAAAAAAGATGAAGTAGCTAGGTGCCAGTGGTTCATGCCTATAATCCTACCTACTCAGAAGGCTGAGATCTGAGGATCATGGCTCAAAGCCAGCATGGACAGGAAAGTCCATGAGATTCTTATCTCCAATTAGGTACCCACAAAGCCAGAAGTAGAGCTGTGGCTTAAGTGATAGAGCTCTAGCCTTGAGCAAAAAAGTTCAGGGACAGCACCCAGGCCCTGAGTTCAAAGCCCAGGTCTAGCACCAAAAAAAAAAAAAGAACTGTAAATTATGTCTTCTTTATAAACATATGTGAATCAAAAATGTATTTATAATTACCACAATTAAATATGATAAATTGTGAGTTGCTTGAATAAAAAAAGCAGTTTAATGACTATATAGCATTTGCTACCACTTCTGATTGCAGCATTAAAATAAGACTATCAAGACTATCAACCTAATTTGAAAATACACAAAATATATCAGATTGATCTTTTACTAGTAAAAGTAAGATGAAAAAGCAGCTCTCACTGGGCACTGGTGGCTCACGCCTGTAATCCTAGCTACTCAGGAGGCTGAGATCTGAGGATCGCGGTTCAAAGCCAGCCCAGGCAGGAGAGACCGTGAGACTCCTATCTCCAATAAACCACCAGAAAACCGGAAGTGGCGCTGTAGCTCAAGTGGTAGAGCGCTCGCCTTGAGCTGAAGAGCTGAGGGACAGCGCCCAGGCCCAGAGTTCAAGCCCCACGACCGACAAAAAAAAAAAAAAAAAAGCAGCTCTAACCAATTACACATCTACTAAGATGGTTCCCTTCTTCTTATACCCTCTTTTCATAAATATAAAAGTGTAACTACTATTAATGGCATACAAATTTCAAACTTAATTACATACCATGGCCAAAGTTCATAGTGATAGTAATATGGATTTTAACACATTTAAAATCAATGCAAAAAATAAAAATAAATGCACTAAACTTCCACACACTTTACATTTAGCTATTTTAACCAAATAACCAACCTCAGAGAGTCTATAATTGAAGAATAGACACAGAGAAGTTGGGTGAAATAGGAAGTGTTTGTGTACCCAATCACAGACAAGTTGGGTTAGCTAGCTAGAAAATAAACCCAGAGGAACCAACTGTAATACTCCATTCTTATAAAATAATGTCTTTAATTCCCTTCCTTTCCTTTTTTTCCACTAAGCGAAAAATACAGAAAATAGAGTAACAACAACAAAATCCTCATGCAATAAAAGTAGACCTAGAATTCATATCCTGGGTTCAAATTTCAGCTCTACTACCATAATATTATGAATGTAGGCAAGTTATACTTGTGCTGTACTCCCAATCTAAAAAAAAAAAAAGTCATCATTCCTAACAAGATTAAATGGTATATAAAAGCTTTTAGCTTATAGTCTATTTATTAAAAAATACAAATATCAGCTATAATTGTTAGCATTGGTATCATGATTATACTATTTGTATTCACAAAGCAATCTTTAAGAAAATGTTTTAATTATAACAATAAGGTAAACAATAAAATACCTCAAGGCACTTAAGAAATAGAGTTTCCAAACATGTTCCTTTATCATCATATAAAGTTGCCTGTGTTAAAACAAAATAAATGTTAGAAAAAAGAACCAGAAAATAATTCATTTTTTTTCAGTAAGTCAAAAATTATTACATATCGGGGCTGAGAAGGTGGCTCAGTGGTAGAGTGCTTGCCTTGCATGCTCAAAGCCCTGGATCCGATTCCTCAGCACCACATAAGCAAAAAGAAAAAAGCCGGAAGTGGCTCTGTGGCTCAAGTGGTAGAGTGCTAGCCTTGAGCTGAAGAGCTGAGGGACAGCAACCAGGCCAAGAGTTCAGGCCCCACGACCGGACCCAAAAAAAAAAAAAAAAAAAATTATTACATATGCCAGGAACTGAAGTTACACACCTGTAATCCTAGTTATGCAGAAGGCTGAGATTGGAGAACTACAGACTGAAACCAGCCTGGGCAGACAAATCCAAAAAACGCTTACCTCTAGCCAGCAAAAACAGCTCAAATGGTAAAGTTCCAACTTTGAGTAAAAAAACTAAGCAAAATCATTAGGTCTCAGTTCAAGCCTTAGCACTGTCACATACACACACAGACACAGACAAAATTGTTACTCAAGTAAATCATGCAATATAAGAATTATCCATTTTGTTTGACTTGCATCTGAAAGTACATCTTTTTCAAATATTTACGGTGTATCACTTAGTAAGAAAGAGTAGATATACATATAAGAGACTCAAGAACTTAATTTCCACTAGCAAGACCCTAGAATGGAAATGAGAAGACACAGATTTAGAATGCAGTAGAGGGGGCCAAAAGGGCACAATACTAATCCAGAGATACTTCAACAGTATGTTTGGGGTGAGCACTGAGAATGACCAGTACTTGAAATGAGGAATTAGCACTGGGGGTAGGTATAATGAAATCTTGTTGAATGTGAGGGTTAGAGGAGAAAAGCAAAGGTGACACAGCTTTCTTCTGTGTCTGAGTCATTTCTCAGTGTATTTTCTCTATTAGCTCCTTTACTATTGGATTTTTCATCACTCTTGAAAAGTTCAGCACGCTAAACAACGTTAAACATAGTTACCATATGACCCAAGAATTCCTCTCATAGGTAGAGTGTTGATACATTCAAAGAATTGGACACCAGCCTTTGAGGGGCTTTCTGCAATGAGTGCCATCAGGGTTTCAACCTGAGCCTCTCCCTTCAGCCCCTGAGCAACTTCTTTTTTTTTTTTTTTTTTTTGTCAGTCCTGGGACCTGAACTCTGGGCCTGGACACCATCCCTCAGCTCTTCAGCTCAAGGCTAGCACTCTACCACTTGAGCCACAGAGCCACTTCCAGATTTTTCTGCTTATGTGGTGCTGAGGAATCAAACCCAGGGCCGCATGGATTCAAGCAAGACAAGCATTCTACCACTAAGCTATTTTCCCAGCCCCAAAAGCGGTGTTTTTTTGTTTGTTTTTTTTTGCTATTCCTGGGGCTTGAACTCAGGGCCTGTGCACTGTCCCTAATGCTTCTTTTTGCATAAGGCTAGTACTCTACCACTTGAGCCACAGCACCACTTCCAGCTTTTTTCTTTTTGCTTATGTGGTGCTGAGGAATCGAATCCAGGGCCTCATGCATGCAAGGCAAGCACTCTACCACTGAGCCACCTTCTTAGCCTCTCAACAATGTTTTTAATCAATACAAATTTAATAATGTTTGTTTTCATATCACATTAATGTAAACATAGCCAACACTTTATCTAGAGTTTTCTTAAAAGTAAATCAAAGGCAAGGTCCTAGCTCTTAGATTCTGTAACTGATGGCTTTGCACTTACTTTGTTTCCTATGTGAGTGACCTTCAGAATCCCATCTTGCCACACTTTTGACTTCTTCGTCTTCTGATGAGTATATAGGACCTTATTTCCAAAAGTACAAAAGCAAAATAAGTTTCTATTTAAATACATTCAATGTAACTTTTAATATGTCCTCCTACAAATAGGAAATATTTAAGACACTTGTGTGTATCTGTGTGTGTATGGATGCACGTGCATGCCAGAACTAGGGTTGAACTCAGGGAACATTGGCACTGTCCATTAACTTTATCACTGATAGTTGGAGCTTTACTACTTGAGCTACAACTCCACTTCCAGCTTTTTGAGGGTTAATTGGAGATAAGAGTTTCAAACACTTTCCTATCCAGGCTGGCTTTGAACTCTGATCCTCAGATATCAACCTCTTGAGTAGCTAGGGTTGTAGTTATGAGCCACAAATATCAGGTAAGACATGTTTTTTTCTTTTTACCAGTCCTGGGGCTTGAACTTGTGACCTCAGCACTGTCCCTGAGTCTCTTTGTATTCAAGGCTGGCACTCTATCATTGAAGCCACAGCTTTTTCTGAGTAGTTTATTGTAGATAAAAGTCTCATGTACTTTTCTGTCTGGATTGGCTTCAAACTGTGATCCTCAGATCTCAGCCACTTGAGTAGCTAAAATTACAGGTGTGAGCCACTGATGCCTGGCTGCAAAAGAAAAGCACACTAGGGTTGGGAAGGTGGCTCAGTGGTAGAGCACTTGCCTTGCATGCATGAGGCCCTGGGTTCGATTCCTCAGCACCACATAAGCAAAAAGAAAAAAGCCGGGAGTGGCACTGTGGCTCAAGTGGTAGAGCGCTAGCCTTGAGCTGAAGAGCTGAGGGACAGCACCCAGGCCCAGAGTTCAGGCCCCACGACCTGACCAAAATAAATAAATAAAATAAAATAAAAGCACAGATATTATGACAATAACAAGAATATAAATAAAAGAGGCTTGGAGTGAAGCTCAATGGTAGAATGTGTTGTTGGCTTGTATGAAACCCTGAGTTCAATTCCCAGCACCACCACCTCGCACAAAAAAAAAAAAGAAAAGGAAAGAAAAAGCAGGAAAGAAAAAGGAAGAAAGCCAGCTAACTGGGTAGTAATTTTAAAAACAAAACAAAACACAGGAACAGGAAAATATAAGGAAGACATTAAAAATAAAATTATGAGCATCAAAAAACAATCTTATTCCTATAAGTCAACCATTGGGAGAAAAAAAATTGGTTTACTGAGAACTTATGATTCATACAGTTAGTTTTTAAACTGCGGTCCAGACTCCTAAAGTTCTCAACAACCTGTACATGCATCTGTGAGCTTAAAACTATTTCATGTTTTGGCCTTTCTGTTCTCATTTCTTCAGGTGAAGAATAGAGTTTCCTAGGGTTATACATGTGTAATGGTGCCAGACTGGATCACAAACTGGATGGAAAAGCAGATGTGAGAATCCAACTGACTTCTACACAAATGTGAAAGAAACTTGAAAAAAAAAATAGCAATGTCACTCTTTTCCATGTTTTCTTTGGCTGTTATTGGGGATTTACAAAAAAATTAATTACTTTTCTTTAAAAAGCCAAGCACAGTGATACACACTTATCATTCAAATTTTACTGAATATACTGCTTGTTCTTTTTTTTTTTTTTTTTTTGGTCCGGTCATGGGGCCTGAACTCTGGGCCTGGGCGCTGTCCCTCAGCTCTTCAGCTCAAGGCTAGCACTCTACCACTTGAGCTACAGCGCCACATCCGGCTTTTTTCTTTTTGCTTATGTGGTGCTGAGGAATCAAACCCAGGGCCTCAGGCATGCAAGGCAAGCACTCTACCACTGAGCCATCTTCCCAGCCCCTGCTTGTTCTTTTTGTTTGGATAAATCTGGCCATAGTAGAAATACACTGGTGAAAGAAAGGAATAAAGGAAAAGAGAAAAGAAAGTGAAAAAAATGTGAAAATTATTAAGACTTACAATAAATTCGTGGCTTTCCATAGTTTCTTCTGAAGATATAAGCCAGTCAAGTCCAGAAAATAATCAGTAGTTGTTCACCTAAAGGTAAAAAAGGCAGAGAATTGTGCAATTCTGACTTAAAAAAATTTTTAATGTTTCAATAGACTAAAAAAGAACAAATTTTAAATGTCTCAATAGACTAAACTATTTTTGTCGGCTGTGGGGCCTGAACTCTGGGCCAGGGTGCTATCCTCAGCTCTTCAGCTCAAGGCTAGAGCTGAAGCTGAAGGCTTGAGCCACAGCGCCACTTCCGGCTTTTTCTGCTTATGTGGTGCTGAGGAATCAAACCCAGGGCCTCATGCATGCAAGACAAGCACTCTACCACTGAGACACCTTCCCAGTCCCTAAACTAAACTCTTGACTGGAAACTGGAATCATTATCCAAATATTCTCTAATGACCAAGGAAAACAGAGGCTTGATCAAATTATTTGTGACCCAAGACACAGAGTGATACCACACTGTGATAAAAGAAAAAGAAGTTACCAAATATATAGAAAACTAAATAAAATAATGAGTTAATTAACAGTCTGCAAACACTTTTCCAAACAACAGAACATTTATCAATTCAATTTTTGTTTCCTGAATGGCCATACCCACCACAAGATGGCACCTTCGAGTTAAAATTTTTCCTTTTATGGAGTACCCTTTCCTTTCCCTTCTGGCAGGGCTGAGGCTCAAACCCAGAGCCATGAGCACACTAGGCAAGCCCTGTACCTTTGAACTACATCTCCAACTCCTCCCTTCTTATTTTACCACAAAATAGGAAGGCTTTATCCACCAGCATCATTCTGTTAAGGCAAATTTAAAAAACAAAAATCTGTCCACAATCTTTCAGACAATTCAAGTGCTGATCAACCACTAATAGGTAAAATTATAGTCTACAAAGGAGTCTTTTTAAGTGGTATAGACTCCAGATGTTCAATATGTATCTACATACACATCATGCTCTATATAAATAGAAATTTTATAAGTTGTTATCTGTAAAACACCTGCCATTCTTCCTGTTAATTTGGGCAAGGTGTGTTTGGTCTGTATGTTTATGAACATAAAAGAATTTAATGAATGAAAACCCTTAGATGTCTATATTAAAAGTTTAAAGATGCAGGGCACCAGTGGCTTACTTCTAGACTCCTAGCTAATACTTGAAAGTCGAGGTTGGGGAGCCAGCTGGGACAGACAAATCTCTAATTAACCAGCAAAAAGGCTATGAACTGGAAGCATGTGGCTCAAGTAGTAGAATACCAGCTGTGAATAAAAAAGCTGATTGAGAGCTGGGAATGTGGCTTAGTGGTAGATGGTTTGCCTTGCATGAAGCCCTGGGTTTGATTCCTTAGAACCACATAAACAGAAAAAGCTAGAAGTAGCACTGTGGCTCAAGTGGTAGAGTGCTAGCCTTGAGCAAAAGAAGCTCAGGGACAGTGCCCAGGTCCTGAGTTCAAGCCCCAGCACTGGGGGGAAAAAAAAGCTGGTTGGTAACTGAGAAGCCCTGAGTTCAAGCTCCAGTTGGCTGCACAAATGCACAAATACATACACAGAAAAAAAAAAAAAAAAAGCCAGGCACTGGTGGCTTATGCCTGTAATCCTATTCAGGAGGCTGAGATCTGAGGATCGTGGTTCAAAGCCAGACCGGGCCGGAAAGTCTGTGAGAATCTCATCTCCAATTAACCACCAGAAAACCAGAAGTGACACTGTGGTTCAAGTTGTAGAGCGCTTGCCTTGAGCTTAAGAGCTGAGGGGCAGCGTCCAGACCCAGAGTTCAAGCCCCACAACGGGTAAAAACAAAACGAACAAACAACAACAAAAGCACAAAACATTAGTTTCAAGAAACCCCAATGGTAATGCCGAGCTCTAATCCCAGCCCTAGGGAGGAGAAAGCCAAACTGGGTTACCTAGTGAAACTCTACCTCAAAAAACTAAAGTTCCCTGTGCTTGCAGCTGCAGCTCAATGCAGCTCTTGCTTAGTGTGCACGAGGCCCTGCAGAAAATACTGAAAACTCAAAAAACGTTCAGAACCCGGCATTCAACATCATAAGTGAATCATCAAGTCCAAATGACTAAAGGAAACCTAAATTTCATTTACCAAGATTCTAATAGGAGTCCGGTGCCAGTGGCTCACGCATGTAATCTTAAGTTACTCAGAAGGGTGGGATCTGTGGGACGAGGTTCGAAGCCAGCCCGGGAAGAAAGTCTGTAAGACTCTTCTATCCAATTAACCAGCCAAAAAAAAGGGGGGGGGGGGGGCAGAAGTGAAGGGAGACTCAATCGCTACAGCTTCAGCCTGGAGGGAAAAATCCAAAGGGCAGTGCCCAGGCCCTGAGTTCAAGCCTCATTATCAGAACAACATCAAAAGTTCTCACAGGAAAGATCTTGTGTACTAAAAATGGCAGTGGAGACTCGATCCTGTCAGCCTTAGAAACACATGGCGGAAGTCTCCAGGGCCTCAGACTAGGAGGAGGTGCAGCGCGGGTCTAAGCGAGGCGGGAAGGATGACGGTGTGAGTACAGGCCGTCGGAGCCGGCAGGGACGGCAATCTTGGTCCCGGGTCGCTGCCTGTGGAGCCCATTCTTCCCTCCCTTCACTCCTAGTCGTTCAATCACTCCAATTCATCCCTCACTTCCCCCAAACGCGAGAAATAGTGCACTTCACCTGTCCCATTGCACAAAATGGACATTTTCGAATTTCTCCCGCGTACAAGTGTGACGTCATCGACATGGGACCGCACCGGAAGATCAACTACTAAGCCCGCCCCCTGGTCGTCTTAGCCAGAATCGCCGTTTTTTTCCAACAGCCAATCACATTCTTCCTCGGGGTGGAGGGCGTTCCCCCTCAGACGTCGCGCTGAGCTCTCCGAAACCCCGCCCCCTCAAGAGGCGGCGCTCCCCTCTGACGTCTACGGAGGACGCACGGCCTTCCAGCGTGTCTTCTGCTGGAGGAACGGGAGAACGGTGTCGCTCTTCGTATGACGCGAAATAACCACGACCGTAAGGCTCAGAGAACGAAAAGTGCTGGAGGAAGCAGGCTCTGAGCCTGTATTTGCGGGAATTGGACGAAGTAAGTTCCAGGTGGCCTGTGGGGTCCCTCCGATCGGGTGCGATCTTCCTCGCCGCCTTTTTTTCATACAGTTCATCTTACGTGTGGCGCTCGCTCCGCCCCCTCCCGCCAGCCCGTCCGTTCACTGGGCTGGTTCGCTGTGCGCACGCGCAGAAGTGCTCAGGCGGCGCGGTTCCAGTTTTCCGCGCGTGGGGGCGCGCGACGCCCGGGGACAGGACAGCTTCGGGGCCCGCCCGGGGTTTGGCTGCCTCGGAGCGGAAGTAGGATGCCGACGGGGCTGCGCCCCTCTGCCCCTAGATTGGAGTTGAGTTTCGACTGTCAAAGGATAATGAGTGTGTGACGCCTTGCAGTCTACGATTAAGTCGTTCTTCTATGCAAGACTCTCATCCTTGCCTGGCGCCAGTGGCTCACATCTGTCACCCTAGCTATTCAGGAGGCTGAGATCTGAAGATCAAGGTTCGAAGCCAGCCTAGGCAGGGGAAAAAAAAAAATCCATGAGGCCCAACCACCAAAAAGCCGAAAGTGGAGCTGTGGCTTAAGTAGAAGAGCACCAGCCTCTCGTACAAAAGCTCAGAGACATTGCCCTGATTTCAAGCCCCTGGAAGGGCTCAAACAGACAAAAACCTAACAGTCCTTACAGAGAATTGAAAGTTCAGTTCTAAAAGAGAACTAAATACGGTGTACCAAGTGCGTTGTTAAGAGATATTGGGGGGAAACAGATGTGACAAGGAAGGCATGGTGGTAGGCCATGTGGCCTAAGCCTCGTAAATTGAATAGAAAGGTTTGTTTGCTGGCCTGTTTGGTGCCAGTACAGGGCTTGAACTCGACCTGGTTTTTGTCCCTGAGCTGTTTTGCCCAAAGCTGGTGCTCTACCACTTGGTCCGCAGTCCACTTTTTGGGGTGGTTTTCTTCCCTGTCTGGGTTCAAACCCTGATCTTTTGATCTCAACCTCCTGAGTAGCCAGGGTTACCAGCAATTAGCCACCAGCTCCCACTGTAAGCCAGAATGAAGGGCTTCAGCCACTACCTCCAACCTTGAACAGGGGTTTATGCAGCTTAGAGTGCTCATCCAAAACAAAAGCAAAGACCCAGCCCATCAGGTTTGTTGTTACTATTCACTTTGGCTGTGAGCACAACCTTTTATTTCTTTATTTTTGCACGAGTTTTTTTTTTTTTTAACCTGAAGAAGTTGTAGATGAGTTTCTCTGAAAACTGTTCATATACCTATCAAACTATTCTGAGTATAATTTTATAAGGAAAATTTGAGAAAACCAAAAAAGTTACTTCACATCCTACCTAACTTTATCTGTGCCTTTCATTATTTTATTATTATAGCTATTATTTTACAACTGTAACTTGCAGGAAAAAAGAAGTGGAAATTAGGTTTGTTCAGGGAAATTGTCACTAGTTGTCCTTACATTGATTTTAACATTCCTGATTGCCAGCCTGTGTATCTACTTTTTGAATTTTCCTTTGATTTGTTTTATAGCACTTCCCTAATTACTCATTAATTACCATGTCTTCATGTACAAGAATGTTTTGGCCTTTCTGTTAAATTTATCATTTAATCGTTTTATGAAGTTTACAAAAATTCTTGAAACTCAACAGATGTTCCTTAGACTTCTGTTTGAGAATTCCTGAGTCATGGCGCTGGTGGCTTAAGCCTGTAAGCCTAGCTACTCAGGTGGCCGAGATCTGAAGATCATGGTTCAAAGCCAGCCTTGGCAGGAAAGTCCATAAGACCTATCTCCAGTTAACCACCAGAAAACCGGAAATAGCCCTGTGTCTCAAAGTGGCAGAGCATTAGCCTTGAGCAAAAGAGATCAGGTCAGCTCTTAGGCCTTGAGGCTGAGGCTCTGTGGCTGACCAAAAAAAAAAAAATTCCTAAGGTATGCCAGAGGGATCTGTAATTCCAGTACTTGGCTAGAAGAAGCAAGAGGTTGCAAGTTCACAGCCAGCATGGGCAACATAGCAAGGCTCTAGCTCAATGAAGCAAAACAGAACAAAAGGATTCGAGAATCAAAATATAATGTGATGGTAGGTTCTACTGAAGAGTAGTTTGTGTGAAAGTTGTTCGTACCAGGACCCTCTTATTCAGCTAGTTTTGGCCATATTACTTACTTTTAAGCCTCTTTTTAAAGAAAGTAGAACTGCTAAGTGGGATTATGGAGATTTAGAACAATGTGTATAAAGTAATTAGCATTGTTACATAGTAACTTTTATTTTCCTAAAGCCCATGTATGAAAGTCAAGGGTGACCAGTTTACTTACAGTATCTTCATTACATATCATAGTAAAGGAATAGTACATTGCTGAGGAATAGCACATTTGACATCAGCAGTATAAATCAGATCTGTGATTATACCAGTTGCACAAAAATAGGGTTCTTTGAAGAATGCATGATATTCAGAACAGATTATAAGCTGTGTCTGCCTTATTTTAGTGGCAGAAAATGTTGGGGATAGTCAAGACAAATTGATAAATAATAATGTAGTTACATATAATTATGTTCTCTACAGCAGCAATTTCAAATGCTTGGGAGAATGTGGCATTGTTAAATAATATAAGGGTTGTAGAAAGAATAGACCTTGCTAGGAAAGATAATGAATTTGACTTGGAATGTGTAGAGTGACAATACAGTACCTGGAGAAAATACAAGCTTTGAGAATTAAGAAAATTATTGCCATGTAACTTCCTGATTTTGTGTAATATTATATGAAAAATTGTTTTATATCTTATGAAACCTTCTGTTTAATCTATCCTCTAAATCAAAGGTGTACTTGCTCATTCTGCACTTGACTACTCAAAGTTACAAAAATGCTTATTAGGAGAAAAATGAAAGAGAGTCTCTAGGCTTGGATACACCATTTTATTTCTTAGATGATAGGCTTCAAAAAGAAAGGGATTGTAGAACAGATAGTCTGCCTTCTCTAATTTACAGGAAGCAGGAGAACCTGCTATAGAGATTATCATAGCCTACATTTGTATGTTATTTATATCCCACAATCATACAAAAAGAATTTGAAGCTGGGCGCCAGTGGCTCATGTTTATAATACTGGCTACTCAAGATATTAAGATCTGAGGATCAACATTTCAAACCAGCCCCTGCAGGAAAGTCAGTGAGAATCTTATTTCCCATTAATCAGCAAGAGGCCAGAGTGGAGCTGTGGCCCAACTGGTAAATCACCAACCTTGAGCAAGCTCAGGGACACTGTCCATGCCCTGAATTCAAGTCCCAGGACTAGTATACACAGACACACACAGACAAGAGTTTGGAAAGCTTAATGTTTTACAGATACTTTAAAATATGTTTCTTCAACAGATACATAGTGATCAAGTTAAAATTTCTGCCTTTAATAGTGTTTACATCCTAGTAGAGTAGGTAATAAAATTATAATTTCAGTTTATTATAACACTGGATCAGTAGTGTAGGTATGGTTTAGATTGGAAGCAAAGGAGCTTTTTATATTGGGTGAAAGGGAAGGCCTCTCTTGAGAAAGTGACATGCAGACCTAAATGAACAGGAATTACTCTTTAGAGAAATGTCAGGGAAGGTGAAGGAGCAGAAAGAGTAAAGAAAGAGGTTGAATGTCTTTAACATGTTTAAGGAATCTAGGGGTGGCACGTTATGATTGGAGAAAGCAAGCTGCAAAGAATTATGGGTAATGGAGTTAGCTATCCCCAGGCCAGGTAAACAACATTGTTCTTTTTTGTTTTTGTGTGAGCACTGGTCCTTGTGCTTGAAAATATCTGGTCTTCTGGTTTCTAGCCCTGTACTCTTGTGCTCAAAGCTGGTCCTTTGCCACTTAAGCCATAGCTCCAATTCCGAATTTTTGCTGATTAATTGGAGATAAGAGTCTGACTTTCGTGCTCAGGCTAGCTTAGAATGACCATCTTTATATCTCAACATCCTGAGTAGCTGGGATTACAGGTGTGAGCCACTGGCACCCAGCTTCAAATTCTTCTTGGATGATTATGGAATATAAAGAGCATACAAATGTAGGCTATGATAATCACTATAGCAGGTTCTGCTGCTTCCTGTAATTTATTGAAGGTTCTACCATCCCTTCCCTTTTTGAAGTCTCACAGACTTCCTACCTGAGCTGGCTTTGAACCACAATCCTCAGATCTCAGCCTCCTAATTATCTAGGATTACAGGCGTGAGCTACCAGCGTCAGCATGTCTTTAAATTTTATTCGGAATGAAGTAAAGTTTCAGAGGAGTTTGTTCAGAGAAGAGTATGCTCTGGATTATGTGTTTAAATGATTCTTCTATCTGGAGAATTGAAGGGATCAATAGTAAAGGCAGGTGGAACAACATGGAAGATCTTGCAGTAAGTAGTTCAAGTAAGATGTGACAGTGGCAGGCTAGGAAGGTGGCTCAGTGGTAGAGCGCTTGCCTTGCATGCATGAGGCCCTGGGTTCGATTCCTCAGCACCAGATAAGCAAAAAGTAAAAAGCCGGAAGTGGTTCTGTGGCTCAAGTGGTAGAGTGCTAGCCTTGAGCTGAAGAGCTGAGGGACAGCGCCCAGGCCCAGAGTTCAGGCCCCACAACCAGACCCAAAAAAAAAAGATGTGACAGTGGCTCAAACCAGGTGAAGGTGTCTGATAAAGAAATGAGAAGTATTTGTGTTCAGATGTGTTTTAAAGGTATAACTAGCAATAGTTCTGATGAATTGGCTACAGTGTGA